TGCGATCGCTGGCACAAGGGGCAACCTCCTCGAAGCCCAGCACTGACAGGGAGAGAAAGGAGTCAGAGAGGAGCTGGGGTCCCAGCCGTACCCCTCATCCAGGTGGATCCCTTCTCACCAGGGTCACAGGAGCGGCACATCTGGCAGAAGGAGAGATGGTTCCAGTGTTCATTGTAGGAACGCTCGGGGCAAGTCTCGCAAACGGTGTCTCGGCTCTGGCTGCATGCGGCAGAGACAAACTTGCCTATAAGGCAAGTGGGGCAAGAGGGTATCAGGAGACAGGAGTCTTCTGCCACATCCGCGGCTTGCTGCAGAGCCTCTCCTTGGCCTCTCTGTCTCCATCCTGTCTTCATGGCTACGCAGCTACCTCTTCAAATCTCAGTGGCCGTGGGACAATGGCTAATGCTTCTGGGTCTCTCTCTACCAGCTAGTTTTACCAGTGTTGGCATCGCTCTGACCTACCTTAACCACCTAGGCTTCCCGGGGCCACTGTCCTCACCTGGGGGGCAGCGAGAGCAGCAGACTTGATGCTTAGACTCGTAGTATTCCTTGTCCTGGTCCCAGCAAGTTTGGTTTTCTGTGCGATATGGGGGCACCTTCCATGGGGAGGCGGAGACAGAGGAGAACAAGGCAGGGTCAGCTGTGGTGGGCAGAAGGGCCGGAGAGAAGTCTGCCCAGGCCCCCATTCCCGCCTGGCCCATCCCACCTAGCCCGTCCCTCACCAGCTGGAGCTGAGATGCCGTCAGGATCCCGCAGAGTCCCAGCAGAAGTGGCCCCCGGGCCAGGCCGCAGGGAGAGGCCCCAGGCAGGCGCATGGCGGCCTTTCGGGTCGGCTGACCAGACCGGGTGGAGGCCTGGGAGGAAGGTGGGAAGCCCGGACGTCCTGAGCAGCGTTGGCCACGACTTCCCAAGCCTGGCGGCTGGGCCGACGTGCCCCCGGGGGCCGGGAGCGGCCGGGCCTGGCCTCCAGGGCTCCAGCGCCGGGCTCAGGAAGTGGGAGTGGAGAGAGCCGGCCGGGGGCGGGGGCAGGGAGCTCTGGGAGCAGAGGCCGGCCTGTCGCAATCGCGACGGGGGAAGAGGAACAGGCTTGGCGGCCTCGACGCAGGGCGGGAGGGGGTGGCCGGGAAAGCACGTGAGAGCTGCAGGCCCGGAACCCGGCCTCCACCTTTCTTCGGAAGCCCGGCCCTCAGAGGGGCTTGCGGATCGGGACCACCCGCGGGCGGAAAAGGGGCGGCAGAGTCAGTAGCTAGCCATCAGTCAAGCTGACCTCCAAGAGCCCGGGGCAGAGCTGACCTGGGTACACATGGATGTTGAGGCAGAGCAGTGGGCAGCTGGGTGCCAGATCTGCAAAGCGGATGTACCCAGGGATTGACAGTGCACCCGGCCGAGACCCCCAGAGGTGGCCAGCAGATGCAGCGTCTGGCCAGTCACCCCACTTGGCAGAAACTGAGGGCCTGCCCCACTCTGTGACTTTTTCAAGAAAAGCTACCACAGTAACAAGCCACCAGGCCTCCACCCTGCTGGCCCACCCACACCACACGTTATTGGGCGCACCACAAGACACTGGAGAGCACGCAGCTGGCCTTGAACCTGTCCTTCTGTCCTCTAGGGATCTCTCTCAAAGGGAGAGTGGGGGAAGACGTGAAAACCTAAGTCCTGGTGAGTTGGGGACCTCTGGGCTGGGGCTGGGTAGCCCAGTTCCAGCTTGTGTGCCCATAAGCCTGTGACTCTCTTTGAACAGAAGGATCTGAGAGCCCAGCCAGTGTGTTATCCCTGGAGCAGACCTGCTCAGGGTGCCAGGCCGAGGAGTCCAAGTCCAAGCTTGTTCAGCCTGGTGGCCCTTTTCTTCCCACCATTAATAGCTCAGAGCTGCTTGCATTTGTGTGACACCCCCTCTTTCCACCTTCCACTGGCTGCCCCCCCCAACCCCCTCACCCAACCCACTCTCCAAAGTTTAGCCCATGCCTCCAGGAAGCAGCTACAGAGCCCCCAAAGGAAGACTAATGTCTGCTCTGGGCTGCCTGTCTGCTCCCTACTAGGCTGTGGGCTGGCCTATTGCCTGGTTTGCATATTAAGTCTGGGCTCACAGAGTTTAGCATGATCTGGCTTATGCCACATGCCAGGTACACACTCACGGAATAAATGAAGGCTGTCCACACTGTTTAGCCGCTCTGGCAGAACCATCTGATTTTCAGATCCCAGCTCATGTCAGCATCCGTCCTGCCTTCCCTGTGACTCAGGGGAGCCTCCTTTGGGATGAGGGGAAGTCTTGAGATAGCTCACCTGAGAACTGGCCTTCTTCACGGTGGATCCAGACAGGCCTTGGGTGCAGATGGGAAATGCTGGTGCAGGGTGAGGGGACCTGCCTGGGCTTTAGATATGTCACTCTGTCCCCTCACTGGTGTAGGCCCAGCAGTCTCACTCTGCTGGCAGCTGTCTGCATCAATAGTCTAAGGCCAAGGCCGCCTGGCGAGGGAAGAGATGCCTGAATAGCAGACTAGTTCTGGCTTCTCTTCCTTCTAGGCCCATGGAGTTGGGGCAGGGACTAGACTCACTTGGGTCTCTTAGGAACATAAAGGAACAGGTGTGTGGCAGCCTGAGATAATTTCCACTCTTTTTTTTATATTTTATTGGGGAAACTTCACATGTACTATCCCAAAAGAGAGAAAATAGTATTGGGACCCACCATGTTGTCACTGCCCAGCTTTAACTGTGGCCAAGTCTTTTCTCTTCATGTAGTATGTATATCTTAAAGCTTGCCAGTCTTCACATGTAGATTAGTGGATTCTCACTTCATTTTTTTCACTTGTTTATTTGCATATGTATGTAGTAAGTATGTGAGTGTGAACACTTTCTCAATCAGGACTCAGGTGGGGAGATGCAACCAACCTCCTGATAGCCTATAGGGACTGCAGACAGACAACTCTTAACGCAAAATGGTTATTATAACGGCCCTCCGCCCTACTTTAGGAGTGTGGAGATTTAGGGGTAAGAAACCTTCCAATTCTTACTGAGCACGGCATCATCTTTGTTTCTTTCCTCTTGTGCTTTTTACTAGCTTCCAGAAACTTTTATCAGTGTTCACTGGGCAATACCAGACGGGAAGACTCCCAGAAGGTGTGGAGGGCTCTTCTCCCAGGCCTCCTTCAGAGAGGCTTGCTGAAATACCCTTCTCCCTGCAGCCCATGAGTACTCCCCAAAGAGAGTTGGTGTGAGCGGGTCCCTCTAAATCCTGTCTTCTTCCTCACATTTCCTTTAGCCAACTGATGGCCTTAGCCAGCCTAATCAGGCTGGTAGACGCCGAGAAATGAACCTACCAGATGAGAAGTGGGCTTCTCCAGTGTTTGGAATGTCACTGGGAATAAAGCCTTACCCAGTTATTCTCAGTCTTGCTCACTTTGCTCCCCAGAAGACATTTGGCAATAATTAAGACATTTTAGGTTGCAACTGCTTGGAATTCCCACTGTTGCCTAGCGCACAGAGGCCAGGGATATTGCTATGACCTACAGTGCAAGACAAGGCCCAGACAACAAGGAATTGCCTGGCTGGGAATGCCAGCCGGGCTGGACTTGTTAAGCCCCGTACTAACCGGAGGACTAAGTCTCTACCGGGGAACTCCTAAGCGTCTTTCCAGGTCACTGAACTGAGGATGGCAGAGAGAAATTTTCTAGTCCATCAGGTAGATTTATACTATGTAAAGGAACATAAAAGGATGCCGTTTGCACAGTAGGCAGCCCTGTAGGTGGCACTAAATCTAAGACTAAAGGAGCTCATTTAAGTGGGCGACTCATTTTTATCCCAGAAAGCATAAAAGCTGACAAGGGAAGAAGTGAAGGAAATTTCGATAAACTAACATACCACAAATCAACGTGCCGTCTGAGGAAGTTAAGATATCTGATGTTTTCCCAGTGCACACTCCTCTCTGTCAAAGACAAACCTTGACTCCGAGCCAAGATGTGAAATTCTGCTGTCTGCAGAGTGGGTCGACAAGTAGTGACCATTAAGTTAGGCATGGTGGCATGCATTTGCAACTTCAGCACTTGGAGGATGAGGCAGGAGGATTGGGAATTTGAGAGCAGTGTGGGCCACGGAGTGAGTGTCCCAGAAACAAAAGAAAACAAAAATAGTAATTACTGGTCACTGAAGTTACTGAAATTAGCCCGGCACCTGTCCTCAGAGAACTCATAATAGGATCTACACATATGCATGTGCATGTAAGCCCAGGTGCATGTGTGGGCCAGTTCATTACGAGTAAACAGCAGGAGGTGTTGAGGTAGGCCTTCCCTGGGAGTGTGGAGGAGAAAGTGGTTCCTTCCACTCATCTACCTCTGGGATGAAGAGTCAAGAAGACCTGTCAGTCCTAATGCTCAGCCCACTGCAAACCCTGAAGGGTCCCTTCTTTCCCGATAGCCACTGCACAGTTTATGGCCATACTAACGGTCGGCAGGTGGCTGATGTGGGGCCGGGAAGGCAGACTCTTATTTAAGGGATGGTTTGGGGCTTTGGGAGAGGCAACAGGAAGCCCTGGGAAGGGAATCTTTCTCAGGCAAGGCAAGAAATGCCCCTGACATGCCATACAAGACTTACTATTCTGGAAGGCAGGAAAGCAGCATCAGACTTGGGAAACAGCTCACCCTAAACTTGGGTGGCCCTGAGGTCTTGGATTCCCTCCGGCACTGAACAAGGGGATAGATGCAGTCAGCTGGCAGGGTCTTTGTCACAGCTGACACACCACTTCCTGCTCCTTCATTTTTCAAATGAGAGCCCTGGGGCCCGCAGAGGTGAAAATGTCCGTCCTTCCTTCCTTCCTCCCTTCTTCCTTCCTTCCTTCCTTCCTTCCTTCCCTCCCTCTCTTTTTCTTCTCTTTTCTTTTTGAGACAGAGCCTCACTATGTAGCGCTGGCTGTCCTAGCACTCACTGTGTAGACCAGGCTGGCCTTGAACTCATAGAGATCCACCTGCCTTTGCCTCTCAAGTGCTGTGACTAAAGGATGCACCACTATGCCTGGCTTAAAAATGTCTTTTCAAAGACAATTTAAAAATAAAAATGGAGCTGGGCAGTGGTGGCACAGGTTTTTAATCACAACACTCGGGAGGCAGAAGCAGGTGGATCTCTGTGAGTTCAAGGCCAGCCTGGTCTACAGAGTGAGATCCAGGACAGCCAGAGCTGTTACATAAAGAAACATTGTCTAGAAAAAAAACCCAATAAATAAACAAACAAACAAAAATGGGAGTCATAGAGTGATACCTATGATATGGTCCCACTTATGATTTTTTTTTAACTTTTTAGAAATGCATGTGAACTGGCATAGTGCACATATCTGTAATTGTAGTACTTGAGAGGCTGAGGCAGGAGGATCATGAATTCAAGGCCAGCCTGGGTTATAAAGCAAGTTTAGGTCAGTTATGCACTGAAACTCTGTCTCAATATACAACACCACAAAACATGTAAGTACAAAAGACACACAAAGAAATAGATAGATGAACAAGTCATAGTGGGTCCCTTTGGGCTGGAGGAAGGAGAGAAACAGGAAGCTTTTTCTTGTTTTATGTACTGCATTGCTGGGAAAATATACTACGACAAAAACTGTGTCTGTAGTCCCAGCACTTGGAAAGCTGAGGCAGGAGCATTACTGTGAGTTCCAGGCCAGCATAGGCTACAGAAGGATCCCCTGGTTTGGGGAGGGGTGTGAGTGTGTGTGTGTGTGTGTGTGTGTGTGTGTGTGTGTGTGTGTGTAATATTTGAAATGGGGCTCTGACCAAAGTACAGGCCTCAAATATCTATTCTCACAACAGGCTTGCACTGGCCCATTCCAGATCTCTAACACTGTAGTCTCCAGCCAAGCCACTCTTGTACTCTGTCAGGACACGCCAGAGTCACCACACTCTTCAGAGCAGACATTCTCACAGAGTCCTTGAGATGAAAACTATTTGTCAGGCTGCCTTAAGCCAGTACTTGGGTTTCAGGCCCAGTTAGCAAACAGAAGAGCCAGGGAGGAGCTGGCTTCTCAGAACCTCACAGATCAAACAGTCGGGGAACCGGGCACCTTGCCTGTGGGACACTACTTTTAAGGACTCGGTTCAAGGAAGAATGGAGTTTCTAAGGGTGGCGAGGGCTATGGAGTGGTGGGAACAGTTCAAAGACATACAGCCAAGGAGACAGTAGCTGGAGAGCCGATAAATCCATGGGCTTTGTCTGGGAATGACTGAGCCCCTCCTGGTGGTCTGGTTCCCCAGAGTCCATGGCCGGTCTGTCTCAGAAGGTAGATGGCCACCTCAGAGGAGAAGATTCTGAATTCTGTTTATAACTGCTGCTGTTTTGCTCTGTGACTTCAGAGAACTGGTTTGTTGTTTTGGAGGGTCAGTTTCTTCATCTGGAAAATGAAGAAAGAGCCAGCCTCCCTCTTCTTACGGGCGGGTTCATGAGTGTGTATCAGGGCACCTGTCCAGCAGCTTAGTCAGCAGGTGGAACCCTGGTGGTCCACAGGCTCTCGTTTTAAGAATGAGGCGAGGGGGACCCTCTTCTTTATCTGGTAAATGCCAGTCTCCAGGGTGTCCCTTCAAATGGGTCCCTCCTCCTGCCTCCCCCAGCTCTTGCGTCTTATCTCTCCAGAATCCTTATCTCACTATATTTCAACTGCTTGCTATGCAGACCTAGTTCTTCCCATGAGCCTCTATGGGTGCTCGGGTCTGTGTCTGCAGGTCTGGGGATACAGAGGACACTTGTGTCTGTTGCTGCTGGAGAGAGCGTGTATGGTAGGAGGAACCAGTGGGCATCCCGGGGCACTGGGGCTGCCCTCCCCAGGGCTCAAGTGTGGATGTCACCGGCAAACTGTGCAGGGTCTGGGCTGTGTGAATGGCACTCCTGTGGCTCCTCTCATTGTCATTTCTGGGTCTGAGCCTCTGAGGCTTCCAGACCTGTGTGCTCACTACTTGATGCGTGCATCTCTCTTCTCTTGCTGGGTTAGGCTGAGAGGGAGACTGGGGAGAAAAGCACATCCCTGATGTTACACATCTTTTTCCTTCTGGGACAGTGTACTCAGCCTCCTTGTCCCAGACACCAGCATGGACACAGCTCTTGTTCTCTCCTAGTGTCTGCCATCCCTGCCGGTCCCTGGGCTCTGGTCTGTGCCCACAGAGCTCTGCCGGGCCCCCACACCCACATTACCTCTGGTGCCCACATTCCTGCAACCTTGTGACCACAACAGGGGACATTACACATTCCTGGCCTAGCAGCCAATGGTGTCAAAAAGAACAGAATGTCCTAGGACCTGGCCCAGCCCCCTGCTTCACCTGGGCCCCTCCCAGGTCTGGACAGAGCCAGGTAGGTGGGGTGAAGAGTTCAGAGGGAAGAGGATGGGGAAGAGGACCGTGGGGCCAGCAGGCGCTCCCAGTTCTCGGGGGACCCCTTCTCCTTTTTCTCCAGGGTCCTGGGTGTGAGGCTGACTTGGGATGACCTTGAGGGACCCAATCAGAAGGGACCCTGGTTTCTGGAAGTTCACTTAAGTTTCTTTCCCCTGGCTGTCTGGCCTGACAGGAGTGTCCCTTTGGGGCTGGTTGCCTCCTCTTCCTCCTCCTCCATCCTCCGTCAGCTCTGTGCCCAGTCCTCCTGTCTGTCTCCTCTTTCTGCCTTCCCTGTTCTCCGGGTTTCCCCACCTAGTCTCAGCCATCCTCCTTCCGCCTTGCCTTCCTGGCTTTCGTGTGTAGAATCCTCTCACCCCGCTCAGGTTCTCCAAGCCTCACTTCGGTCCCTAGTCTCCCTGCCAGTCAGTTCCCCATCAATCCCTGGCCCAAAGTCTTCGGCCGGTAGGTACCTGCTTCACCTGTCCCCACGAGCCCTCCTCCCTGGGGAGCTCCCAGACCAGACTCCTCCTTTGACCCTCCCCCTGCGCGCTCACCTTTAATTGAGATGCTAATGAGGCTCCCGTGGCTCCCATCCCTGGCTGACAGGCAGGCTCCGCGGCCAGGCACTGCAGCTGTCAGGTGAGAGGGTGGAGAAGGCTCCGCTGCCAGATTCAACTGGAAAGGAACCAGTCACTGCCCAGCCGCACCTGGGAGCTGGAGTCCGGAGGCAGCGCAGGTCTCCTGCAGCCCTGCGGTTCCCGAGGGAGAGGAGGAGATAGCAAGGAGCCGGAGGCCAGGGCTCGAGCCCAGAGAAGAGGGCCCAGGAGGAACCAGGGAAGGCAGGGGAGGAAGTGAGGCAGGATCAGAGAGCCTGGCACAGACGGGGAGACCCAAAGAGAAGCACGAGGCTGCTGGGCCAAGAGGGCGTGAAATCACACCGTCAGGGAGGAAAAGGGCAAGAAGGAGAGGCTGCTAACTGAGGCACAGTGCCTGCTGTGGAGAACCAGGAGGCGCTAGCGGGCAGGTGAAGGTGGCTGGGAAGCTCTGTGGCTACTCCAGAGGAGCTCAGTGCTGCCTGCCTGCCTGTCCCCAACTCCAGAAGGTCAGCTGGCTCCTGGAAAGCAGGAGGAGGGTGGGAGGACAGGGGGAGAGTGGACTGAGCGCAGGATGCGGGCACGGTCAGGGGCAGCCCCTTTCTGCCTTCATGCTGATGATGCCGGAGCGCACCAGAGCCCTGAGCTCAACCTTGACCTAGACCCCCACCTCCCCGACTCACCTAAGGGCTCCATGAAGGGCGGCAAGTTCAAGGAACAAGACCCTTGTCCTCCTCAACCCATGCAAGGGCTGGCGAAGGGAGACAAGCGAGAAGAGCAGGGGCTGGGTCCCGAACCCTCAGTGCCCCCGCAGCCCACCGAGGAGGAGGAGGCGCTGATCGAGTTCCACCGCTCCTACCGAGAGCTCTTCCAGTTCTTCTGCAACAATACCACCATCCATGGCGCCATCCGCCTGGTGTGCTCCAAGCACAACCGCATGAAGACGGCCTTCTGGGCCGTGCTGTGGCTCTGCACCTTCGGCGTGATGTACTGGCAGTTCGCCTTGCTCTTCGAAGAGTACTTCAGCTACCCTGTCAGCCTCAACATCAACCTCAATTCAGACAAGCTGGTCTTCCCTGCGGTCACTGTCTGCACCCTTAATCCCTACAGGTCAGTCAGTCCAGTGCTGTTTTCCGGGTGCCATAGGGGTGTATGTGTGTGTGTGTGTGTGTGTGTGTGTGTGTGTGTGTGTGTGTGTGTGTGTGTAGGGGGTGGCTCAGTGGTACAGCATGTGCTTAGCATGCACGAGGCCCATGCCATCCACCCTCACCAGCACAAAAGCCAGCAAGCCCCAAAGCAAACAAAAGTGGTGATGGAGCTGTGAGGCCAGTGAGCTGGCTGAGGTCAAGGTCTTACAGCTGCTGTGGAGGTAGATAAGATCTTTGTACAGAAGGGAAGTTGGCTGTGCTGTGGAGGAAGTAACATGGGGGTGGGATGCAAGGCAGGAGAGTGGGATGGGAGAGTCTCGTTGTCGCATGTCCCCAAAGTCCCAGGCTGATGTATGCAGGTGAGCCAGGCTCAGCTGCCTTAATCACCTGCCCTTGCTACCTGCCCAGGTGGCTGACCCTTGAGGGCTTTGGTGTGTTCTGAAGTTTTGGGTTTCATCAGTGCTCTTGGCCAGTTTGGGTCTGGAAACTGGACTGTTGCCATGGAGAAGAGAGGAGGGCAGGGCTGGGTGTTTGTACACAGCATTTGTCTTCACTCAGTTAACCAGACACAGTGCTAGGCACCCAGCAGGAGAGGCTTGTTGATAATGCAGCGACCTTTATCGAGGGCCAGGTGCTTTACTAGGTACTGGATGGAAAGGCTAAAACAGGGTGGGAGAGGTAGGCGTGTAAACAAATACTGTAGCACACCGTGATTAGTACAATAAAAACCAAGCTGGTCTACCTTCAAGGAGTGTGAGGTCTCTTATGAGTGTTTGAATGAGGGTGAATGTGTGTGAGCACACACATCAGGAATGCAGGCAATTATGGAAGGCTGGGATTGGTCATATGCTGCGGGTGGAGGCTCCCTCAGGTAGTCTGTCAGGTCCAAAGATGTGTCATGGATTCACAAAGGTTGGGAAGTCCTGTTCTGGAAAGGAAACCTGCCCCCGTACAATAAACACAGCAGGAGTCACTAAGCTGAACACACGAGGCTCCTAGAAGTCCTCTACAGTTTCCTTGTGTCATTCTCAAAGACGTGGGACATGGGGACCAGTAGTATCCTCATTTTACGTATAGGAAAATGAGGCCAAGAGGGACAAGTCAACAGTCACCCATTCTGACCGAATCCTGATTCATCCTGTTTGTTTGGTCCCCAAACTTGGCCTTGTCTTATACTCAAGAGATGGGACTTGGGATAAGTGAAGTTTCCCATCACTGTTTACCTTCATTTCAAGGCCTGGGCTGTTCCCTCCCATAGCCTCACTTTCCCAGCAGGCTTTCTTTTTCACCTTAGGCCAGGCAGGGTGGGGGACATAACAGGCAGAGTGCTGGGAGAGGCGGGCCAGGGCCTGGAAATAGGTTGTCCACACTCAATAAATATTTGTGGTCACAAAGATGAGGAGATATGGGGAAGGCTGGGGTGAGTGTGTTGAGGCCTGCATATTTTCTAAGGTTCTGCTGGGTGCATGGCCTTGTACAGGCCAGGATAGAACTCCAGGGAGTGGACACCACACTGCCCCCAGACTGGGAGTAGCTGTCCACACAGGAAATTTCCCTCTTCCTGGAAGATGACTGCAGGAGGGGAGGGGGGAGAACACACAGAGGGGAGGGAGGGCGGAGGGAGGGAAGGCAGAGGGAGGGCAGAAGGACAGAGGGAGGGCAGAAGGAGGGCAGAGGGAGGGGGGGCAGAGGGACGGCTTCCAAATACAGGAGGGAACTGAAGACCTACTGTGTACTTGACTCAGTGTCGGTGGTCTGTAAACACTGCTCCTCAACCCTGTAGTCTGGGGAGTGGGCGGTTTTTTTTTTTTTTTTTTTAGACAGAGTTTCTCTGTGTAGCTTTGTGCCTTTCCTGGATCTCGCTCTGTAGACCAGGCTGGCCTCGAACTCACAGAGATCCGTCTGCCTCTGCCTCCCGAGTGCTGGGATTAAAGGCGTGCGCCACCACCGCCCGGCCTTCTTTCTTTTTTTATTTTATTTTATTTTTTTTTTTGGTTTTTCGAGACAGGGTTTCTCTGTGTAGCTTTGCGCCTTTCCTGGAACTCACTTGGTAGCCCAGGTTGGCCTCGAACTCACAGAGATCCGCCGGCCTCTGCCTCCCGAGTGCTGGGATTAAAGGCGTGCGCCACCACCGCCCGGCTCTTTCTTTTTTTAAAAGACAGGATCTCAGTGCAGCCCAGGTTGGCTTTGAACTCCTGGGATATTAGGGCACTTGCTACCACATCTGTGTTATTTCCAGTTTTCAGATGAAGATAATTGATGTTCAACAAGATGAAATAATTAGACCCAAAGCTGTATAGCTAATAATGAAGAAAAATAACAGTAACAATACCGTTAATACATATTTATGTCCCAGATGGTTTTCCAGATGAACTAAATCTGAATGAAATATTATAAATGGGCCAAGTGTGGCAGCTTATGCCTTTAACCCCAACACTCTGGAGGCAGAGGCAGCCAGATCTCTGTGAGCTACAGGTCAACCTAGTGGACATAGTCCCAGGCCAGCCAGAGCTACATAGTGTTGTTAGCTGTCCCTAAAGACCCAGCCTGAATGTATGTAGTGATTCCAGCTCAGCTGTCCTGTCCACCTGCCCAGGTATCTGACCTTTAAGAAAAGAAATATTATTAAATGATTTAATCCCCACAACAGACTTGGGAAATATGTACCATTGTTTCCTCCATTTTATAGATGAGGAAGCACAGTTATACTCAGACAGGCAGGCAAGCGGTGAAACTAGGGTGAAAAAAGAAAAAAATCACTCCCATCTAAGAGCTGGTGCCTCTCTGGTTAGCAGTCAAGTCCCAGATCAAGTGTGACTTCAAAGTCCTCTCTCCCATGACAGCAAGGCCTCCCAAGGTGGAGCAGCTGGGAGGATCCCAGGAGGAAGAGCAGCTGAAAGAAGGGGACTCCCGGCTAGGAGTGCAGGGGAGGGGAGCCAGGGCCCGTGAGGGAGGCAGAGGCAGCAGGCAGGCTGGGGTAGCCTGGTGGCGGCTGACCTGAGTGTGAATCATGACTGTTGGCAGAGGGAGGGACTTGACCTGGGGTGAGAGGGGAACAGGTTGGAGGAACCAGTTGCCGAAGAGAGCCTGGAGTGGAGCAGAGTCACACGAGGGTGTCCACCTGCTGAGGAACAGGGCAGCAGAGGATTTAAGAAGGTGGCCCTGGCTGCAGCACTGTGCTGGTTTTACAATTTCTAGTCACTGGAAGGAGAGTGTCCGTCATCTCCACATCTGTGGGCAACGGAGCCCACAAACATATGGACCTAAGGAAGAATTTATCCAGGCCTGGTGGCACATGCCAGTAATTCTGGCCCTTGGGAAATACAGACAGGAGAATCGGGAGTTCGAGGTTAGCCCTGGGTATAACTTGAGTTTGAGGCTGGATAGGCTACGTGTGACCCTGTGTCAACAGCAACAGAATACAACCAAGAAAGAGCTTGGAGCTCTGGGCAGTGACGACCATGGACTTTCTCTTCTGCAGATGGCAGAACAAGGGGCTTGGCATGGGGTGGCCCAAGAGAGGGCCATTTCCTCAGAGAGCCACAGAAGGAGGTGGGCTCTGAACTGGAAAGCCACCCTTGACCTGCACTCTCTTAGTCTAGATGCCAGGCTTTCCTCAGTGTCTGGCAGGGAGAGCCCAGACTGAGGACCGAGTCCCTGGGCCGGCCAGGGGTCAGGTCCTTCTCTGTCTGGCACGCTGGTGCTGGGGCTAGAGTTGGTCAGCGCAAGAGTTCTTGTACAGGCAGAGCTGTGTGCGCTTGTGCATGGGTGGGTGCTCATGTGTCCTGGTGCCAGTAAAAAGGGTCTCTCCTTTTCACCTGGGTTTAACTGGGTTCTGTTCTGGGGCTGAACTCGGGTTGCTCGGCTTGTCAGCAGGCCATCTCACTGGCCCCTGTGAAGCTTCCGGAATAAGAAGGGCAGACGAGAAAATTGAGGCTCCAAGAACCTAAAAGTAAAAGGAAACTAAAAGCCACCAGCTGTTGAGAGGAGTAAGAATGGGAATCTGGGTCTTTAGTACTCTTTTGGTACTGTCGTTACAACCAAGAGGTCACACGGTAGGTGAGTGGCAGACGTACTCCCCTGTAATGGCACTTATCTCTGATAATGAATACCCATGGCAATAAAATGCCAACCGCAGTCGCATAGTACCCACTCTACCAAGAGTGAGGCTTAGTCCTTTTCATATGGTATTAGCCCACTGGGAGGCAGGAACTCTTTGCCACCTATGTGGGGTTCATACTTCAGTGACAAGGCGAACACCTCGTTATATTGCTGAGGAAAAAGTTTTATAGCGTGAGCTGTTATTTTTGGGAACTGGCTATCCATAAAAGATGTCTTAGGTCACCAGGAGTCAGATTCTACGTGACCTGGGCCAGCTCATTAAAATGTGGAATTCAGCCGGGCGGTGGTGGCGCACGCCTTTAATCCCAGCACTCGGGAGGCAGAGCCAGGTGGATCTCTGTGAGTTCGAGGCCAGCCTGGGCTACAGAGTGAGTTCCAGGACAGGCACCAAAACTACACAGAGAAACACTGTCTCGAAAAAACAAAAAACAAAAAACAAAAAAAAAAAATTAAAATGTGGAATTCTACACAGCATCATCCTGATGGCCTAAGGGAGATTGCAGCTGGGGGTTGTGATGGCCAACCCTTCCTAAAGGAATAATGGATCCTGCTTAGCAGCAACAGCCTGTCTGGAGGCAACAACAGTCCTGTTGTGAGCCAGAGAGCTCTGCATAACCATCTGTCTGAGCATGGCATCCACACTCACTTTCAACAGCTCCTGAGCACCTTTGGTTCTTAGATTGCTGTCACTGGGACTGAACTCCGTGAGTGATCTCAGAGCTCAGCACCCACTCAAGAGAAAGAAGGGCAACTTGTTGGGCATCTACATGTGAATGTACTGTGATACAAGCTGAGGCTGTAGGGTCGGTCTGTGAATATGCCCCCTTAGCATTGTTCAGAGCTGTTTGGGAGACAAGGCTGGGAAAGTGATCAGAGAAGGTCAAGACCTTGCTGGATGAAGCAGAGTAGGGCTAAGCACACGGGTACACACCGCCAAGGAAGGAGACGGGCTTGTCTCTTGTCCTCAGCTCTGCCAAGTATTCCAGAATGCCGGCTGAGAATGCTCTGGAGGTCCCTCGGTGGGTGTTTTGGAGCCCGTCAAATAGATCAGGGATGGAGGAATAGACACAGATGGGAAAAGAGGTGTGTCAGCCCCCAGACCTCTTAGGATTCCTGTATCCTGCCAGCCTGTTGTTTACAGAGAAGGAGAGTCAGAGGGGAGGCTAGCTTCAGAGAAAGGAGATGCCAACTCTGAACACTCGTTAGCCAGGAGTAGTGGAAAAATCAGGGACCGTGGAGTCCAACAAGCCTAGGTTCAAAGCTTAGCATCAGTAGTTCCCTGGTGAGTGACCCGAAGGTAGTTGCCTATGGATGGGCTTCGGTGTCCTGAGTTATGGAATGAAGAGAGTAAGGTCTGATGGAAATAGACTGGGAGTAGGGAGTTCACCCACCTCCCACAGGTGGGTTGCCTGACAAACAGGAGGGAGGGCACTGAGCATGGCCCAGGAAGGAAGTCAAGACCAGCTGGGCAGACCATCTTGCAAGCATCCCGTCAAAAGTGTCTTGACTCCTCTGTCTAGCCCTGGTCTCAGGACAAGCACTGAGTGTATACTGTGCCTTGCTCGGTGGTCTGTGCTAGTGCCAGTCAAAGGCTCTGAGTCCTGTCAGACAATGCTTAGTGACGGGATGTTAGGAAGGTGACACGGGAACACTGTCTTACATCAAAAAAGGAGAGAAGTGTCCTCAGGGAGGGAGCGATCCCTGCATGGAACTCGACCCAGGTGCAGGATCGAGGGTTGGGAGACCAGACTGTTGTGTGTGTGGGGGGGGTGTTCAAGGGTTGGGAGACCAGACTGAGGGTACTGTTGGCACTCAGTCCAGACGAGGCCGGAGGGAGCTGAATGCGGGGAGTGTCACTGAGAAGAATTTGGCTCAGGGATGACACGGGCTCAGGTGGAGACAGAGAAGTGGTGATACAGTGATGGGGAAATGGGAGATGAAGGTGGTGACCGTGTCACAGAAACAATTCCAGCAGAGCCAGGGACCGGATTCTTTCTGCATGACTTTGAAAAAGTGAAGAGACACTTCCCTGGGCGTCAGCTGGGTTCCTTACCCAACATCACAAAGCTGGGGTGCCGGAGTGCGCTTCCAGCAGGGGGCAGTGTGTGTGTGCGTGTGTGTGTGTGTGTGTGTGTGTGTGTGTGTGTGTGTGTGTGTGTGTGTGTGTGCACATTCTGACTCATGTCCTGGCCATTTTATCTTGGGAAAGGGCATCACAATGGTATTAGCCCAGATCACTGAGCAGTGTATGTAATGGAAGTGCCTGGCTCCTCAGAAGTGCTCATAGTAGCTGACATGGCCATTCTTGGAATCATCAGTGCCAAATCAGTCTCTCAGGCGGCCTTGGACACACACCTGTTTTCACCCGAGAAGGGATGAGGGGCTGGGAACAAAGAGGAGGATGCCGAGGGTCCAGCCAGCTGGACTTTCAGGGTGAAAACAGCCCAAAGGGGAGGACTGGGAAGCTTTGAACTGGATGGTGGTACATTAGAACCATGGATGAGTTTTTTTTTTTTTTTTTTTTTTTTTTGGTTTTTCGAGACAGGGTTTCTCTGTATAGCTTTGCACCTTTCCTGGAACTCGCTTTGGAGACCAGGCTGGCCTCGAACTCACAGAGATCCGCCTGGCTCTGCCTCCTGAGTGCTGGGATTAAAGGCGTGCGCCACCACCGCCTGGCCATGGATGAGATTTTAAATAGCCTTGGGCTGCAGGTGAGGCCCAGTGGTGGAGGGTGGATGGAGTGCCCAGCATTTATGAGGCCCTGGGTTTGACCCTGGGGACTACAAAAACAAAACAAAACAAAACAAAACGCTATGTGTGTCAGACCCCAAATGCACAATCCGGTATCTCTGGCAGTAGCTCATTTCACCAGTGCTGTAAGTTTGTTTCCTTCTTTTCTTTATTTCTTCTTCTCTCTTTTTTTGGGGGTGGGGGTGGGGGGCATAGTTTCTCTGTGTAATAGCCCTGGCTGTCCTGGAACTCACTCTGTAGACCAGGCTGGCCTCGAACTCAGAGATCTCTCCCTCCCAAGTACTGGGATTAAAGGAGTTAATTGCCATACTCAACTCTTACATTTTTCTTTAAGTGATATTTAACATTCAAGATATTGGACATTTCCAGTCCATTCCTCTTTTACGTATATTACATATGTTGTTTTTTGAGACAAGGTCTCACCATGTAGCCCTGGCTGACCTAGAAATCACTATGTACACCAGGTTGGTTGACCTAGAACTCAGAGATCTGCCTGCCACTATCTCCCCAATGCTGGGATTAAAGATGGGTCCTGAGAATTGAACCGGGGTCCTCTGCAAGGGCAGCCAGTGCTCTTGGCCTCTTAAGACATTTCTCCAGCCCCCTTTACAGTAAATATTTCCAGTAGTGTAAATCCTCCAGCTTTTTTCTTTTCCACAACTGTTTTGGCCACAGCAGGTTCTTTGGAAACAAGCATTGTGACATGTACCTGCAAGCTCGGCTGCTCGTGAGGCCACCGCAGGAAGATTCCAGATTGAGGCCAGCCTGGGCTTCATACTCTTTGCATTTCCAAAGAAATCTCAGAACCACCTGCCTGCCACTTACTTTTAAACTGTTAGCTGAATTTGGGGTCTGGATTGTATGGAGTGTAAAAATCAAGTTGGGGACGTGGTGACAGCTAGCACATGAACAGCTGAGTGATTCCTTATGTTTTGTCTCTTGGTCTTCAGCAGGGTTTCAGTGTGCTCTTCAGTGTAAGAAACCCAGCTTCTCTTTTATCAGACTTACTCCTAAACTTATCAGATTTATTTAAGATGTTATTTTCTAAAATTTTTATTTTTATGCACATGCGTATGTCTGTGAGTGTATGCCACATGTGTGAGTGGGGTTGGACCAGAAGAGGGAGTCAGATTTCCCTGGAACTGGAGTTACAGGGGCTGTGAGCACTCAAATGTGGATGCTAAGAACTGAACTGTTCTGGAAGAGCAGGTTCTTAAATGCAGGACCATCTCCCCAGCCCCAGTGTGGTGTTATTTTCATTCTCTATTTCTTTCTTGCTAGTATTTAGGAATACAGTTAATATTTGTGCATTGGTTTTTGCATCCTGCGGCCTGGTTTAATTTACCGTCTGTACTTTGTTTCATAGACTGTAATTCTTAGGCCAGCTATGTGGATGTCCATCATGCAGACAGTAATATGGCCAGTACTGAGTGAGGAATGTAAGGATTTATATGGAACAGTGTCTGGGTCCTTCCCAAATCTCATTAAAGGGAAGCCTCTGCAGAAGGGGAGGGTGGGTACTACATCCGGTATTTTTACAGCAGTTCAGGGAGATTCTGAAAGTGCATTTGCTGAGAAGTCTTGATTTGAAGACAGGGTTGACAGGCACTCACAAAGGCCACCCTCCCCAAAGGGGATGGGGCAAGACGACCAGAGCTGCCAGGCCATGGGAGTGAAGAACCCCCCATCCCCCATCCCGGGCAAACAGGTAGCAATAAACGAAGTCCTGGCCTAGGCTTCCACTGAGAACACATCTGTTTACACCCCTACCCCCAGACAGTTCTGGAGCCACACATCTGCTTACACCCCTACCCCCAGACAGTTCTGGAGCCTCACATCTGCTTACACCCCTACCCCCAGACAGTTCTGGAGCCTCACATCTGCTTACACCCCTACCCCCAGACAGTTCTGGAGCCTCACATCTGCTTACACCCCTACCCCCAGACAGTTCTGGAACCATTAGAGCGGTCACTGATCCCCTCCCTCCGTTTATGGAGAAAACCATGGCTCATCGGCGGCGGGCCACCCCTAGACCGATCTCCTCCCCATTGGCCGTTTCAGATACACTGAAATTAAAGAGGAGCTGGAAGAGCTGGACCGCATCACGGAACAGACGCTCTTTGACCTCTACAAATACAACTCCTCCTACACTGTCAAGGCTGGGGCCCGCCGCCGCCGCACCCGCAACCTCGGGAGGGCCCTTCCGCACCCCCTGCAGCGCCTGTACGCTCCGCCTCCGCCCTACCCAGCCCGCGCGGCTCGCAGCTCGTCTTCCAGTGTACGGGACAACAACCCCCAAGTGGACCGGAAGGACTGGACGATCGGCTTCCAACTGGTAAGCCCCGCCCCTCGGTCCAGGGCCCGCCCACGCGCTCGCCCCGTCCAATGGCCCCGCCCACTTCTGTAGACTGAGGCCTGAGTAACACAAAGAAGTAAATAAATAAATAAATAAATAAATAAGTAGATAAACGCAAAAAAAAACAAAACAAAAAAAAACGAACCTTACAGTACCCTGTGCCACTTTGCTGGCAGCTTATGTGGCAGGGGATAAGTGGCGGGAAGTAAAATTTGTTGCTGAAAATACACATTTCTGGCCGCGGCGGTTGGGGGGGGGGGGGCGGCAGACGACACAACCGAAGACCTGTGTAACCCAGGTCCTTGCCTGTGCTTGGCAAGGGCTCTTCCCCTGAGCTCCATCCCCAGACCCTAAACATGTAGATGAGAGAGTCAGCTAGTGAAGGGGAAAGGGAGGCCCTGAAGAGATGGGCCACCAGCATACTGGAGTTCTAGGCCCATCTCTATTGTGGGAACAAACCTTTCGATCGCTGAGTTTTCACACCAGTGGAAGAGGAAGAATTCTTGTGTCTCTTCCCGCCTGGTTGTGTAAGTAAACTACACCGAGGAGAAGCTGCCCATCGCTGCCTCAATCCTGTGCTCCCCTGGCCAACTACTCTAGGGGCTTGTGTTTCTCCCGCTCTGCTCTGTTCTACCTACACCCTCCCTGTTCCCTATACCTGCTCACCGGCCCTCAGAACACCTCACCTCTCAATCTTGGACCTTGGTGGCTCCCTGATGGGCGCTGACATTCCGATCTCTATGCACAGTGCAACCAGAACAAATCGGACTGCTTCTACCAGACGTACTCATCTGGGGTGGACGCAGTGCGGGAGTGGTACCGCTTCCATTACATCAACATCCTGTCCAGACTGCCCGACACCTCACCGGCTCTGGAGGAAGAAGCCTTGGGCAGCTTCATCTTCACCTGCCGCTTCAACCAGGCCCCCTGCAACCAGGCGTGAGTAGCCCTGCCGGTCGCCAGAGGCTCAGCTGTTCCTCAAGAGTCTCCTTCCCGAGCCTCCTGAGGGCTCAGGAGATGCTTGCTGGTTAGGTGAGGGAATGCCTGAGAGTGAGTAATGCAGAAACACTAGCCTGAGGCCCAAGTCTGCCTCCAGCAGGTCACCTGTAGACGGCAGTGTGCTGGGATCCGTGGACTGAGGTCTCAGCCCGAGTTCCCACCGCGGTTCTATCTCTCCTCGGCCTGGTGACTCTTTCGTTTCACACCATCCTTCAGAGCCTTATACACAATCCTCTTACTCGAGTGTGAGGACAGTGATGCCAATATCTGTTTTAAGAGTAACGCCAAGTGTGTGAGACGGCAGATGTGAGGGTGCTTTATACACTCCGGGGCATGATGGGGGTCAGCCCTCTTGCACCCAGACATGTGAAGTGACATGCCCAGAGGCCCAGGCTGGCCTAAGGACTCTCCACATCCCACTGTCCCTCAGGGATAATTTCTGTTAGGACCCCTGTCATAGTGCCCTTCCGCAGAGGTCACAGCCACTTGTTCAGGCTCTCTGAGAGCTGGTGGCAGGTGGAAGCGAGGGGCTCCCTCTGGAGCCCCTGCCTCCTGCTCTGACTTTGTCCTCTGCTCCTGGGTGTTCAAGGGCATCTCCTGCCTGGGGGAGGAAGGTGCTGAAGTAATAGCTCCACTCTGCAGGGGGGCCCTCCATCCCCTGTCACAGAGCGGCAGCAGGGCCAGGTGTCACCTGCTTCTGCTCCGACTTCTCACTCCGTGTGCTCACATGCTTCCCATCACACAGCTCTGTACCGGTCTGCACTTTTTGTTTGTTTAAGGATGAAAGCTAGCAGCTGGGGGGTGAGGCAGTTAGGCCTGGGCCAGCCACACCTGTCGCCGCCGCCCAGCCTCTCTGTCGCTTTCCACCTGGAGTCTCTGTCCCCATCCTCTCCCTTTGTCCACTCCAAGCTCTTGCCTCCCTTCCCCGCAAGTCCACAGTTCGTCTCAGTTTTGGTGTGCGGGTTTCTTCTTCCTCAGCTCAGAGTTTTAGCCTCTTCCACCAGGACTGTTGAAACAACCCTGTAAGGGGTCTAGCTTTCGGCCTCCAAGTCCTCACTTCATTCTTCACAGGAAGTCTTTGTCCGTCTCTGTTGCTAGAACAGAGTACTACAGACCGGGTAATTTATGAAGAAAAGCAGTTCATTTCTTACAACACTAGAGGATGGGAAGTCTGAGAGCCTGGTGCCGGAACCTCCTGAGGGCTCCCATTACATAACACAGCTGAAGGGGAAGGGAAAGTGAGCATGTGAAAGAGAAAGCGGGAAGGGCTGCCCTGAACACACAGGAGCCCACTCTTACAGTAGCCAACCCTCTCTGGAACTCTGTGTTACGTAATACTATGGATCCATTCATGAGAATTTGTCCCGAGACCCTATCTCTTCCTATTGATGCCATCTCCAACACACTGGGAAGTAATTTTCCAACACAAGAGTCGAGAGGCACATTTGAAACATAGAGGGAGCTTCACTTTGTTATATTAATGATTATAGTCAGTCCTGTTCGAAATCCTCCAAAGTAGAGGCTGGAGGGATGACTCCGCGGTTGAGAGCACTGTCTGCTTTTGCAGAGGACTGGTTCTGTTTCTAGTACCCACACGCAGCACACAGCTGTCCATAACTCCAGTTCCATGGGATCCGACACCCTCTTCCGGCCTCTGCAGGCACCAGGCATGCATGTGGTACACAGATATACAAGCAGGCAAAGCATTCATATACATACAATCAATGCAACAGAACCCTACAGGCCCTCGTGGCCTTCGGAGTCTAGGCGAACTTCCTTAGAATGGCCTTCTGGGACTTCTCTTCTTCTTCCTCTCTTTTGGTTTCCTTTTTCCTTCTGTTTTTTGTTCTGAAGATCAAGCCCTGAGCCCTCACAACATGCAGGCAAGCACTCTACATCACTGAGCTACATCCTCAGACATATCTTCCCCTTATAACATGTAGTAAAAGTCTTCCTTTTCATATTTGCAGTTTAGTGGTTTTAAAATATTTTTCAAAAGCAGAGTTGTTATATATATATGTATATATATTTGTTATATCTCTAAATAAAATATATTTAGAGATACTATTGCTACTATCTGATTTTAGAACGTTTTCCTCACCACCCCCAAGAAACCCATTTACCCATTAGCAGTTCCCCATTCCATCTCTTTCAAGCCCTGAGAACCACCAATCTGCTTCCTGTCTCCATGGATTACTCTTTGTGGAGATTTCATACAAGGGAGAGGGACATAGTTCAGGGGTAGATTGATTGCCTAGCATGCACTAGGTTTTGATATCTGTCTGTCTGTCTGTCTATCTATTTATCTATCTATCGATGGCATCTTTTGTGACTTGCGGCTTCTTTCACTTCGCTTATGGTTTCCATCTGTCCTTAGCATGTGTCAGAACTCATGTATGAGCAAATAATACTGTGTTGTGTAGACATATGCCAACTGTGTGATTTGGGGCATGCCTGCCTTTGGCCTTTATGAATGACACTGAGGTGAATGTGCCTGTGTAGGGTTTCACACTGATGATGTTTTAGTTTCCCTTGGACGCACGTAGGAGTGGCATTCGGGTCGCACCACTGTTTAACATTTGGAGGCACTGCTGGACTGTGCACAGGGACACATTTCTTTATAGTCCCAGCAGCAATCCCGAGGGGTCTAAGTTCTCCACATCTTCCACCTGTTACTGTCCATCTTAAAACAACAACAACACAAACCGCCTTTAGTTATTTGTATACGTGCATGTGTGTGGGCAGAGGATGGTCTTCTGGAGTTGGTTTTCTCAGCCTTAGGGTGGCAAGCTTGGCAGCCAGCACCCGTCTTTGCCAGCTGAGCCATCTCGCCAGCCCCTGTTTGTCTTTATTACTTTAGGCAATTTAATGAGTCACTACCACCTTAGTGGGAAGGCAATACAGTTCTTACCAGTGTTAATATTTAACTTAGTCCTCAGTGCCCTACCCTAGCTGTTTCTGTGATCTTCATTTGACAGAGGAGGAGATTAAGAAACTTGTTAGAGCCAGAAGTGGTGGCGCATGCCTTTAATCCCAGGCAGAGGCAGGCGAATCTCTCTGAGATCGAGGCCAGCCTGGTCTGCAGAGTGAGTACCAGGATGGTCAGGGCTACACAGAGAAACCCTGTCTCAGAAAACTCCAAAAGGAAAGAAAGAAACTTGTTTGGCCTCCTTTCTAATATTTCTTAGAGTTAGTTCAAATATAAGGAGTTGAACTTTGGAGCCTTTTTTTTTTTTTTTTTAACAAGGTCTCACTCTTACCCCAGGCTGATCTGGAGGTCACTATGTAGCATGTAGCTCCAGCTAGCCTCATGCTGGCAGAGAGCCTCTGTATCACCCTCCCAAGTGCTGGGATTACAGGAGTGTACTGCCACACCTGCATGGGGCTTTGTTCTTTAAATATTTTTTATTACGTGTGTGTGATTAAGAGGATGTCCGTGAGAAACATGGCTCACTCAGGGCCACATGACCAGAGCCACACTTACTTCTGGTCAGTGTCCCCTCTCACTTCTCTACTGGTCACAGACCAGAACCTCATTTTCTTCTTGTCCTGTTCCCAGATAGCAGGACGTAGAACACAGGGTTCCCCTCTCCCCACACAGCTCGCAGAACCTGTGGTCTGCTGTCAGTCTGTGTTTCTACTGCAGCAGCATGGCCTGTGTGATTTTCCTCTTGATTCCTAAGCCTCTTGCAGACCATCGTTAGACCTCTGAATCTAAGATCTGCAGGTGCACAGAGGCCTCTGGAAAACATGGCTTCATTTCCTCCCTGTGTTCTGAACGTCTTCCCCCCTGGGCCATGATCACTGTGGGTTTCACCCCTTCTAATGCTGTTTTCCTCCATCTCTCCATTTCCCTCATTGATGCATTCAAAAGCTACTTATTAGTGAACTCCTGTGTTGCCTGTGTGCCAGGAACCATGTATCTGACACCAGAATAAGACAAAGATGAATGAGGTGTGGTTCCTGTCCTCAAGGATGTCACAATCTGAATGGAGAACCAAGAGTTAGATGCTGAGAAGTTAGGGGCATCACAGATGTTTTAATATAACATGAGAGGACACGAGGAACCAAGCAGTGAGGGCAGAGCTGGGCTGGCAAGGAAATGCCCGAGTCTGATGCCAGGCCCATCAGCACTGTCTATGTGGCCTTGGGATCCCCACTCCCTGGGAGGGAAGAAGGGCCAAACGTGGTGGATTCACACCCTGGATGGCATGTAGCAGGTAGAATCAGCAGATCTGATGGGGCATCATGGGTGAATCTTAAATACAGAGCTTAGGAAACCTTTGTTTTGTTTTTTAGAAAAAGATAAAATAAGATCTATAGCACACAAGATCACTTACATGTTGCTGTCTGTGTGGCCTGTCTTGTGTCATGTAGAATGAGGCTGTTGGCTGGAGTGACAGAGAACACAGCCTCCCAGTGTTGTGTGGACACACAGGGGTGACAGGAAACAGGTGCTCCCTGGCTCACCTCATAGGCCACTCACCTCTTGGACTCCCCCCTCTGACCTCATTGTGCTTGTTCTCTTACCTACTAAGGAATTATTCTCAGTTCCACCACCCCATGTATGGGAACTGCTACACTTTCAACAACAAGAACCACTCCAATCTCTGGATGTCTTCCATGCCTGGAGTCAACAATGGTGAGTTGCTCCTGTCCTCCTTATACCCTTCCTGCCGTCCCGCCTCACCCATGTTTACTCACCTTGCATATGTTCTAGAGATGCTGGGTACCTTCTGGGTCCCACCTTGATATGCCCCCTCGTTATTCTGGAAGGATCTGTTCTGTCCTTTCTACCCCAAAGGTCCCCTATAACCCATTCTAGGCATGGAAGGAATTCTGTGCTTTAAACCTGGCCCGGAATCCAGCTCTGGGTTACCAAGTCCACCTGAGGAGCTTTGTTCCACCAGGAGATGAAGGACTCTGCAAGGGTGAGAGCATGGGTCTCCATCCCCAACTCTTCTCCTGCTGTGTCCTCAGGTCTGTCTCTGACACTGCGCACAGAACAGAATGACTTCATCCCCCTGCTGTCCACAGTGACGGGGGCCAGGGTGATGGTGCATGGGCAGGACGAACCTGCCTTTATGGATGATGGTGGCTTCAATGTGCGGCCTGGTGTGGAGACCTCCATCAGCATGAGGAAGGCAAGGATGCTCTGACTGGGAACCTGGGAGGAGAGCCCCTCGGGAGGGAGGGAGATGGAAAATGGGAGGTGGACTTGGCAGCTAGGAGATTGAAGGGAGATCATGTGAGGAGCTTTCAGGATGTGGAGGTTTTCAGGATTGGAACTGGGTAGAGGGGCTAGCCAAGGGGGCCTGGGAAGCAAGGCTTTAAGGAGACCTTCATTGCTAAGAAGGGTTCAGGACATCCTTGGGATTCAGAGGATGCTCTGGACCCATGCACAGGCTGGAAAGTAGGACAAGGAGGGGTGTTTGGGGGTGCTGGAACATGTTTTGAGATGGGGATGCTGACGGGTTGTGGCAGGGATTGAGGGAAGACTGGAGAGGCAGGGTGAAGCTGGGTCGCTCACTGTGCCCCCTCGTCTGTGATCCCTTGATGCCCATGGGTTCACAGGAAGCCCTGGACAGCCTTGGAGGCAACTACGGTGACTGTACTGAGAATGGCAGTGATGTCCCTGTCAAGAACCTGTACCCTTCCAAGTATACCCAGCAGGTACACAGAGCTGGCTGCAGACATCCCTGGACTGCAGATTGGGCAGCTGGGTGGAGGGATGAAGGAGGAAATGGGTTGGGAGCAGTAGGAAGGACAATGGTGGTCCAGTGGTTAGAAGGGCTCAGCCTTCCTGTAGTGGGGCTCACAGGGGGTGGGGTGGGCCAGGCCTGACGCCTCTTGCCTCTTCCTTCCCCTCCAGGTGTGCATTCACTCCTGCTTCCAGGAGAACATGATCAAGAAGTGTGGCTGTGCCTACATCTTCTACCCTAAGCCCAAGGGCGTAGAGTTCTGTGACTACCGAAAGCAGAGCTCCTGGGGTGAGCGGGGAGCCCCTGCACTGTCCACAGCTCACCTCCACTTCCCTAAGTGCCTGGCTCCCAGAGCCCTTCTCTGGGACGGCTCCCTCCCACACCCTAGTCTCCCTCGGGCTCCTGTTTGCTTTTCTGCCCATTGGCTCTGCCTCAGTTTCCCTCCCTCCTTCTCTTCCGGTCTTTGGCTTTTGTGAGTTTGTGAAGGAATTGTCCTTTTTAAAAATAACCTGCAGCAGAAGGAAGGAAGTGAGTGTGCTGTGTGTGTGCCTAATGAGCTCTCCTGCAGCAATTTCAGTGGGCCTGCTCATTCTTGGGATGCTGCTCAGCAGGGCTGGCTGGCTGGGGGGTGAGGGTGGGGGTGGTGTTAGGTACAGCACCCAACATCTCCCTGGGGCCCAGGAAGAAATTATTAGGAGTCCTGTGTTTCTGTCTCATCTCTTTGTGTGTTAGAAACTATGTGCTATATCCTTTCAGCATCCCAGGGATGCAATTTGTGAGCTTAAAAAAAATTAACCTTCCTTTCCCTTCCTTTCTTCCTTCCTTCTTTCCCTCCCTCCCTCCCTCCGTGTGTGTGTGTGTGTGTGTGTGTGTGTGTGTGTGTGTGTGTGTCTGTGTGTGTCTGTGTGTGTGTGTGTGTGTCTGTGTGTGTGTGTGTGTCTGTGTGCAGGTGTGCTGCGCCACGTGGATCACAGATTCACCTCTGATCTTCAGGTTCGGGAGCTTTACCCACTGGGCCATTTCTCCCCCAGGGATGTAATTTGTAAATCAAACGCACATTCGTTTGTTAGAGAATGTTTTTACCCGGCGCAGGGCACAGCCCAACATGTTGCAGAGCCCTGGCATGTCCTGCTCATCCGGCCATTGTCTTGGACACACCCTTTTCCCTTCCACTGTGGCAGAGCTAGCCTAGAATGCTGGGAGAAGGGTGCCCTAACAGGAAACCATGGGATGGCAGGAATCCCCATATTCCTGAGCGGCACGCTCTCATCTGCACAGACACTTGTCCTTCAGACCCCTCCTCCCGGGGACCCCTCCGACCCCTCCTCCCAGAGATTTACATGCCCAGCTCTCTAGCAGGGTGAGAAAGAGAGGAAGTGGGCCGGGGGCATTGCTGGAGGGGACAAGACACCAGACACCACAGACACAGAGAAAGCTCTGTGGAATTGTTTCACCTCTGTCCCAGTCCCACCTGTCTGTGGCGTCTGCCTCCTTTCTTGCCTGGGACTCCTTCTGACAGGACTTTTCCTCTCACTTCTCTGGTCAGGGTAGCTTCCTGCCTCCTACTTCCGCCTGCCTCCTGATGCCCCTTGCCCCCAGCTTCCTGCCCCCTGCCTCTTGCCTCCTGCCCCCTGCCCCTGCCCACTGCCCTTGCCTCCTGCCCCTGCCCACTGCCCCTGCCCCCTGCCCCTGCCTCCTGCCCCCTGCCCCTGCCCACTGCCACTGCCCCAGCCCACCACCCCTGCCTCCTGCCCCTGTCCCCTGCCCCTGCCTCTGCCTCGTGCCTCCTGCCCCTGCCTCCTCCCTCTGCCCCCTGCCTCCTGCCCCTGCCCCCTGCCCCGCCCCCTGCCTCCTGCCCCTGCCCCTGCCTCCTGCCTCCTGCCCCTGCCCCCTGCCCCTGCCCCCTGCCTCCTGCCCCTGCCCCTGCCTCCTGCCCCTGCCCCCTGCCTCCTGCCCCTGCCCCTACCCCTGCCCCTGCCTCCTGCCTTGGAGGATCACTGATAGTCAGAACTGGAGGGAACTCAGAGGCCACATGGTATCACTTTCTTTCTCAGATGGGCAGACAGAAGCCTGAAGGGCAGGGAGGGAGGGCATGCATCCCCAGTGTGAACAGGGCAGTGGGTGGCCGGTTTGGCGGGCCCTCCTCTGTTCCTCTCCCTGCTTTCCAACAATTCTTTCTAAGTTCTTTGTTTTATTTTTGTTGAGATAGGGTTTCTATGTAGCCCTGGCTATCTTGGACCTCACTATGTAGACCAGGCTGGCCTTGAACTCATAGAGATCCACTTGCCTCTGCCTGGGATTAAGTGCTGGGATTAAAGGTGTAGTGATATATATTGTACCCTAATAAACTTGCCTGGGGATCAGAGGTCAGAGCCAGCCACTAGATTAGACACAGAGGTCAGGCAATGGTGGCATACACCCTTAATCCTATCACTAGGGAAACAGAGGTCCATCTGGATCTCTGTGAGTTTAAGTCCACACTGGGCTACATGAGAGAAACAGACCCACGCCTTTAATCTCAGGAAGTTAGATGGCAGGACACAGAAAGGTATATAAAGCATGAGGAAACAGGAACTCACTCTCTTGAGGCTGAGGATTTCGTAAAAGTAAGCTAGTAGCTGTCTGTTCTGATCTTTCAGCTTTTACCCCAATATCTGGCTCTGAGGTTTTTTTTATTATAAGACCTTTTAAGATTTGTGTTACATAAAGGTGTGCGCCGCTACTGCCACCACCACCAGCCTAGGTTCTATTTATTTATTTATTTACTAAGACGGGGTCTTGATACATAGGTCTGGCTGTCTTGGAACTCACTATGTTGATCAGGCTGGTCTCGAGTTCACAGAGATCCACCTGCCTCTCCCTTCCAATGTTGGGATTAGAAAGTGTGTTCCACCACTGTCTGGCTCAATAATTCTTTTTAAGATTTAAAAAAAAATACATATTTTTTTAAGTTTCCTTGGAGCTCCTCGGTGCCATTGGAGGGACCCCATACCCCCATTCTTCTCGTTTTCATCTTGTTTTACTGAGGTGATTTGCATCTAACAGAGTCACTCACTATATAGTTTTAGGTAAATATGGTTGTAGTTTTTGATTTGGGCTTTTATTCTGGTCTCATGATCACTATCAATTTTAGAGTTTTTAAAATCACTCCTAGAGAAACTTGTACCTATGAGTCGTCCCCCAGTTTCCCACCCCCTACTGCCAGCTGTTGGGAAACCACCAGCCTGTGTTGGACATTTCGGTAGATGGAGCCATGAGCATACGGCCTTTGCCACTGGCTTCTTTCACTTAGCAGTGTTTCCAGGGTCCATCCATGTTATGACACGCCTCAACACTCTTTTCCTTGTTGCATAGATACACAACTTTTGTTTGCTGAGACAGAATCTCATACTGCAGCCCAGGCTGGCTTCAGCTTTTCAGCAGTCCTCCTGCCTGAGGTTCATGAGTGCTGGAATTACCAGCATATACCACCATTCCCAGCTCGATGTACATTTTGTTTATTCACTAAACTGGTTGATGGATATTTCGGTTGTTTCTAAGTTGGGGTTTTGTGACTAATGCTGCTGTGAACATTTGTGTACATGTCCTCATGTGGATTTATGTTTTCAGTTTTCTCCTCATGTACCTAGGAGAATTGCTGGGCTCATGGTAATTGTTTAGCCTTTCTGAGGGACTGCCATACTTTTGGACATGGCTGCACCATCTCATATTCCCAGCAGGAGCAAATGATGGTCTCAGCAGTCCTTGTTGGTGGTTTTTGTTTTTTAAGCCACCATGTGGTTGCTGGGAATTGAACTCAGGACCTCTGGAAGAACTGCCAATGCTCTTAACCTCTGAGCCATCTCTCCAACCCCCAACAGTTTTCCTAGTGATTGTAAAATTGTATCTCATTGTGGTTTAACCCCTTTATTATGCAATCATTGTTCCCATTTTCTCTGACTTTTAATTTTTGTGCCTTTTGAACACATGTTTATATGGCTGTTCCCTGTCCCCAGCTTAGCTTAATTTCTTAAACAGTTTTGTTGTGGTTGCCACTCCTGAGGTGCCATTGAATGCTCTTGTAAAGTGGGTGCCCAGGCAGTGTGGAAGGCTCTGTGTGTGGAAAGGGGGGAGATGCCCTCAGAAAACAGGCCCTTCTCTGCACCCACAGGCTACTGCTACTATAAGCTTCAGGGCGCCTTCTCGCTGGACAGCCTGGGCTGTTTCTCCAAGTGTCGGAAGCCATGCAGGTAAGGGTCCTTCCCTGGGGGTGGGCTGGGCAGCAGCTGCTTGGCTGGGTGGGATGGAGGTGGCTAATAGAACACTGCTCCATCACTGAGCACTTTTACCTGTCTGCAGTGTGACCAACTACAAGCTCTCTGCTGGCTACTCACGATGGCCATCTGTGAAGTCCCAGGTAAAGGAGGAATGGTTGTGCATGTGAACACAGTTGCACACATGTGCAAGTGTGCATAACACAGTGGCCCTCTGAGTATTGTCCATGTTGATAGATAGGACTGACACCATCCATCCTGTCAGCCTGAGGAATACAGGGGTCACCTCCTTGTCGCCCCCCCCCCCATTTTTTCCCAGGATTGGATCTTTGAGATGCTGTCCTTGCAGAACAATTACACAATCAACAACAAAAGGTCAGGCCTGCTCCTGAGCTCCTGGGCAGGATCCTTTGGGAGGAAAGGAGGTCTGGGAAGAGGTTCTGATAGGGGTGTTGGGACGAGGGTCTTGGGAGTTCACCCTCCAACACATCTTCCCACTCTCTCCCCCTCCCCAAAGGAATGGAGTTGCTAAACTCAACATCTTCTTCAAGGAGCTGAACTATAAAACTAATTCGGAGTCTCCCTCTGTCACGGTAGGACCTGTCCTAGTCAGGGAGCCTGTGGTCTCCTGGGGCCTTGGCAGGGTGGCTGTGAGGGAGGGTGAGGGCTCACATTTGGGGGCCGGAAAGGTTTGTGCCCCAGAGGTAGAAGGTAAGGAAAAGGAAGTGGAGTCCAGGGTAAGGTGAGAGCATTGAGGAGGGATCTGTGGTGTCAGGTCGGGTGGTGGGAGGCGTGCGTCCGTGTGTGTGTGTGTGTGTGTGTGTGTGTGTGTGTGTGTGTGTGTGTGTGTGTGTGTGTGTGGCGTGCGCGCATATATGTGTGTGTGTGTATGTGTGTGTGTGTGTGTGTGTGTGTGTGTGTGTGTGTGTGTGTGTATGTGTGTACGCATTCGTGTGTATGACAGACAACTGCGAGAGGCCCTTGAGTTGCACCCCAGTTTTTGTTGGTCTCATGACCATTTTCCCGTGGGGGATGATGCGCAGGAGCTGCCCCTGCATGGTGGGCCCCAGGTGCAAAGGGAGCTGGCTTGGTAAGGGGGTGGGTGCTTCATTCTCTCCACAGATGGTCAGCCTCCTGTCCAACCTGGGCAGCCAGTGGAGCCTGTGGTTCGGGTCGTCGGTGCTGTCTGTGGTGGAAATGGCGGAGCTCATCTTTGACCTCCTGGTCATCACAGTCCTCATGCTGTTGCACAGGTTCCGAAGCCGGTACTGGTCACCAGGACGAGGGGCCAGGGGTGCGAGGGAAGTGGCCTCCACTCCACCTTCCTCCTTCCCCTCCCGCTTCTGTCCCCACCCTACGTCCCCACTGCCTTCTTTGCCCCAGCAGGGCACAACCCCTTCCCTGGTCCCGGCCCCTCCGCCTGCCTATGCCACCCTAGGCCCCTGCGCCCATCCACTGGACTCTGCAGTGCCTGGCCCTTCTGCCTGTGCTCTGGGGGAGCACTGAGAGAGGAGAGTGCTCCTCTCACCCAGGCCAGTGCTCCCGGGTAAACTAAAGCTGAAGGCCATCTTCAGCAGCACCTTCCACAGCTGCCTGGCTGTCTTTGGTGTGCCTGAGGGAGTAGACTAAATAAGGGGCCCAGGAAATGGTCCAGAGAAGAGTGGCTGATGAGCTGCTCGGAGCCGCCCAGTTCCTGCTTCTGAACATGGCTTTCCACACAAGCTCAGACAAGTCTCCTTTTCCCTTGGATCAGCCAAGCCAGACTTGGAGCTTTGACAAAGAACTTTCCTGGGAAACGACCAACGAACAAATATAAACAGGGCGCAGAAAAGCGGCCACAGGTTTCCTACCCCATGACCAGAGATCGGCCTGGCCACACTGCCTTCAAAGACACAGATGTCTGCGCCCCTTCTTGAACTTGGGTGGGGAACCCCACCTAAAAGCCCCCTTTGTTAGTTCTTTGGCAATTCCCCTTCCCTGACTCCCCAGAGTGGGGGCTAGAGTAAGATGAGTATTGTAAAGGTTTGGCCATTCTCCTTCATTTCCAAGGCTCTTCTCTCGTTTGATACACTAGTTCTGTGCCTCGGCACTGTGCCCTTCATACTTGTCTTAGCTATTTTCTCAGCCTAGAAGCTTCCCCTACCATCTTCTCGAGAGCTTCTGTGCGCCCCCATGACCCCTGTTGAAAGGCACCATTACTTTTGTGAACTCTTTTACCTGTCCTGCCTCCCCCAGAATCATGCCCCTCCCCTCGTCCCCACAGTGCACTATGTTATATGTTCGCATTCTTTTGTGTCTGCCTCTGAGTAGACTGTGAAATCCTTGTGATCAGGGCTGCGTTTTGCTCATTTTTATATCCCTCAGGTCTAGCCCAGTATCCCACTTGAAGCAGGTAGGCAGGTACCCAATAAATGCTTGTTACGTAAAACGATGTCTGCAGAGCTGGATGGGGCCCCAGGAAATGGGTAGGGAGTGGATGCAAGTCCCAGAGGCACTGCCTATGTTTCTTGGGAGGCCCTAGAGTGGAGGGGAGGGCACAGGCAGCCAGGCCAAACTTGTCACTGTTACACATCATCAAGTATGCTCTTCTTCAAACTCCACCCAGCTGTGATGAAACATCTGCCACCCTCCTGCCCATCACACCCTAGTGGTACCAAACTCCACCCAGCTGTGAGGTAACCTCTGCCACCCTCCTCCCCATCACTGCCCTGGTGGTGGAGGAGGATGAGACTGGGACCAGTTCTTCCAGAATTTCAGAGCCTTGGGTAGTCTTATCCACAGTTGAGAGGGGCAGAGGGAACACTCCTGACTTCAGTAAAGGAGAAACTGGGGAATGTCTGAGTGGAACCCCACTTTTCTCATCTGCAGCTCCTCTGCCTGCTCCAGTCATAAGACCTGGGACCCAGAAGCGACTCTGTCTTGTTGTGTTGTGGGAATAAGACTCGGGATTGTTCCTGTTTCTCATTCATCACAATGTCTGTCCTTAGGAGCCAGAGGAGAAGGGGGTCTTTTTTTTTTTTTTTTTCCTCCTTCAGGGAACCCAGTCTGTAGACCAGGCTGGCCTTGAACTCACAGAGTGCTGGGATCAAAGGCGTGAGGGATAATGGGGATCTTGTAGAAAGAGGGAAGGAACAGGGACTTCGGTCATGCGTGCGATGTGAAGACCTTGACTTCCCTTTCCTAGACTCATGTCAATGTCAGGAAATAGTGCTGTTTCAACACTGTCCTGTCAGAGCCTCAGGTGTGGCTGCTCTGGCCTTCTCTCCCTCTCTGTTTGGTCCCTGCCCTTCCCTGTCTGGATCTGTTATGGAGGCTGCAGTCCCCTTCACCCCCCAGCTCCAGGTCCCTTTTATCCACCTGTGTTGCCACCCTGAGGTCTGTCCTCACCTTCTTCTTGTCTGAAGACCACTCCTTGGAGGTGGGATCAGAGTGTTAGAGGAAAAAAGGGCCCACTTCTCTTCATTTGCCTTATCAGCCTTAGAGGTGGCGTGGTTACGCTGGATTGGAGCCCTCACAGTGGCACCTGGAACCAGGCCCTCCTCACTGATTCATCTGGTCCGTCTGTAAGGTGGGGTACAGACTGTGGCCAGGGCTCGCGTCACAGGGACTTGGAGCCCAGTGCCCTTTGGAATCAGTGTACACGTGCATGTGTGAGGCAGGCCATGTCTCCTCGGGGGTGGGGGAGTGTTAGCTGAGGCTCTTCCATCCTTTGGTCTGCCTTCCCTACCTACCAGCTCCAGTCCCCTGTTCTGCCTACTGTCACATTTTCTTTCCTTCCTTCCTTCCTTCCTTCCTTCCTTCCTTCCTTCCTTCCTTCCTTCCTCCCTCCCTCCCTTCCTTCCTTCCTTCTTTCCTTTCTTTTTTTTTAAAGTAGGGTATTTTTCTTTCTTTCTTTTTTTTTAATTCATGTATATGAGTGTTTTGCCTGAATGTATGAATGAATACTACATGCAAGCCTGGTGCCCACAGAGGTCAGAAGAAGACTCCAGATCCCCTGGAACTAGAGTTATAGGTGGTTGTAAGCCACTTTGTGGGTTCTGGGAACTGAACCCTGGTCCTCTACAGAACAACAATTTCTCTTAACCACTGAGCCATCTCTCCAGCTCCTTTTCTGTATTTTTTTTTTTTTAATTTTAAGATTTACTGGTTTTGGCCTGGCAGTAGTGGTGCACACCTTTGAACCCCAGCACTCGGGAGGCAGAAGCAGGAGAATCTCTGTAAGTTCAAGGCCAGCCTGGTCTACAGAGTAAGTCCCAGGACAGACTCCAAAGCTACACAGAGAAACCTTGTCTCGAAAAACCAAACGGGGGTGGGGGAGATTTACCATTTTTATCTTGTGTGCATAGCTGTTTTGCCTGTTTGTATGTCTGTGCACCCCATGCACACCTGAGCCAGAAGAGGGTATCTGATCCTTTGGAATTAGAGTCACCAACAGTTATAAGCTGCTGTGTAGGTGCTGGGAACCCATCTCTGATCCTCTGTGAGAGCAGCAAGTGCTTTTAACTGTGGCCTCTCCAGCCCCAGCCATCACTCTTTCCATTCCTGTGCTCACAGTCTTATTTGTTTGGTTTTTTGAGACAGGGTTTCTCTATGTAACAGCTCTGGCTGTCCTGGAACTTGCTCTGTAGACCAGGTTGGCCTGGAACTCACAGAGGTCTGCCTGCCTCTGTCTCTGCCTCCCGAGTGATGGGATTATAGGTGTTTGACACCATTGGCTTTGTGGTCTTTTTTTTATTCTTATCTCCTCCGTAAACCTAGCTGGCTTTTCTCACCCTCAGGTTCACAGGTTCTTACCCTTTTCTCTGGAACTGAGCTGGAGGGAGCATTTTAGTACTGCATTGTCTCAAAACTCCAAATGTACTGAGAAAAAGCAGCATGTATCCTAAGCCATGAAGGAAATTCCCCGCTTGTGCCAGGCTCTGACTAATGATGGCTTTGGCAGTTTGCACAGACAATTAAAAATTCCTTGTAATGTTAAACATGGGACCTTGAAGTTGTTATGCATTATTAATACAAATTATTGATATTGTATGATACTTAACATGTGGCAACACTTGCTAATATTCCATATGAATCTAACCACCAAACCAGCCCTGGAGATGTGTCAGTGTGTTTCTTGTCTATTTTAATGTGTGTGTGTGTGTGTGTGCGCACATGAACGTGTATGCTGGTGATAGTTTAGGGCCTCGCTTGTGCTAGGCAAGCACTCCACCACTGAATTACACCTTGAGGCACCCCCTCCCATTTACTTATCCTAGCTTGTTCACATTGAAAACTGGCTAGTCTATGGAGGACGAAAAGTTTCTGTGCCCGGATAAGCCTCTCCGCCGACACAGTAATCCAAATCAGACCGAATTAGAAAATGCCCTGGTTTAATGGGTAAAGCATTCCTGAGTGGTTCTCCGGGCCCCTAGAGAGGAGATGGGAGAAACCAAAAAACCATGGGTCTGTTTTCTGGGGTGCAGTTTAAATACCCTATAGGAGTGGTTTTGAGCATCTCTGGGGGGAAGAGCCGTGTTTGGAGGGGCTATCTGAGGAGCAGGGTCTGGGCAGAGAGGTGGGACTTCCACTAGAACATTCCAGACTCTTTGGTTATATGGATGCCAGGGTGCCAAAAGTTTCCACCAGAACAGAGGGAAGTGGGCCTCTAGCAGTGGGGACACCTCCAGCTGCTCTTCAGGGGTTTTGCCTTGGGGATTACAGTGGAGAGGAGAGGAGACATCAGGGTGGGCATGCTGGAGGCTGAAGGCCAGCCGTGGTTCACAGGGAGAAGGGCCAGGAGCTCTGGTTTCAAGCCCCCAAGCCCTAGGCCCCCATTCCTGCATTCTCCTTGCATGTCCCACAGTCTCAGCTGCTGGAGGACCTCAGACTGAACTGGCATACATAAAGAAGGTCACTAAATCTCAAGGCACTTGAGTGAATAGAATCCCAGTGCTGACGGGTTCACCTGGGAGAAGACCTCCATAAATGGGGATAGCAGAAGGTGTCCACCCCTACTAAGGGGTGCCAGTCAAAAGGTGAGGTCTCACTCAAAGGGGGGGGGACAGCGTGGCCTTATAATAGTAACCAGGAATCTGAGTTCTTTGTGCTCTGCCTCCCAGCATGCAGTGTCTTTTTCCTTAGCTGCAGAATGTGGTAGCCAGCTCTGGGTCAGTCCCAATGGATGCATCCGAATATCTAGAGCTGGGTGTGGTGGGGCACACCTGTAATCCCAGCATGTAGGAGGCGGGAAGATCAGAAGTACAAGGCCAGTCTCAGCTAATGAGTTTGAGGCCAGCCTGGGCTAAATGAAACCCTATTTCAACTAAGACAAAATAGTGTGTTTGGGAAAAGGGCCCTGGGAACCCTTCACAACCGGAAGCATCTTTACAGACACGTCTACTGAATCTTCATGTCACCTCTTCCCTATGTGAGGGCAAGCATTTTTCACTCACTGAATAACGGGGGAGCCAACCAAGGCTTGGGGGCGGGGGCTGTCACACACACACACACACACACACACACACACACTGTTGGTGGCAGAGCCATGGTGGGAACCCATCTGGAAGGGACCGCAGGGTGGAAAACTAGATTTGGTTTTCTTCCCCGGTTTGGGCTGGATGGGTAAATGTCCCTGAGATTAGAGGGAACCCTGGAGCGAAGGGAGCGCCGCTGAGGGACACCGAGTGCTCACCGTGCACCAGGTACTGCCCTCCCTCAATAACTCCTGTCTACCGTCCCACGAGACAGGCTACCTTCATTCTGTGAATTTGAGAACAGGCTTGGAGGGCTTAGTGCACGGGTCTGAGCTCACCCACCTAAGAAGCAGAGGAGTCTGAACTGGAACTCGGTGAATTTAACTCTCAAACTCTAGGTGTTCCCAGTTGATTTTAAGTGGGTTTGGGGCGCCAGGCTGTGGGAGCCAGGCTACAAAGCGTTAAAAGAACCTTGGCCCTCTCCTCTCTCCTCCTGGTTCCCTCCTCCTTCGCCGCTCCCCAGGCTCTTCCGGTCCCGCTCTTGCAACACCACCCCCGCCACTCTCCCTTCCCCTCCTACCTCCTCTCTCCTCTCAGCTTTAATTTTCTCCGAGTTTTCTGAACTCTGGCTCCTGATCGGGCCTCCTGGGTTCGACGTCCTGGAGGACCGTACCCTGGTCTGTATCTACACCCTCGACTTTCAGCTTCCCTAACCTGAGGCCCCGGTTGCCATTGCCCGGGCCACCTGCTCCGATCGTCTGACTTCATTCACCAGCGTTGCCAGTTGCTACACTGTCCCCCAGCCCCAATGGGGGAGTGAGAGGCCACTGCCGGCCGGACATGGGTCTCCCCACCGTGCCTGGCCTGCTGCTGTCACTGGTGAGACGGGGGACAGGAGGGAAGGGTGGGTTGCTGGCGAGGGAGGCCTGGCAGGAGTGGGCATGTACCAGGGGTAGGGGTTGGCGGCGTGGAGGACTTCTCCGCTGCCTCAGTTTGCCTAGGCTTGCTGTGCCTCACCCGGGGCTGCCCGCAGAGGCCGAAGGAAATCCGAGAGAAATCAGAGAGGGAGAAAGTTACCACAAGCCAAGCCCCCAAGGCCGGGGCCTGACAGCCGAGGTGGCTCGAGGTGGCTCGCTGGTCCTGGAGTGTATTGGGCTGTAGGGGGGCCAGCTGTGAGGCCCCTGGAATTAGGCGGAGCAGCCCCGTTTCTCTGGCAGTAGTCGAACAGCGTGGGTCAGGGTGCTGGAAGACTGGATCGAAGGAGGGGGATCAGTTGGGGACAAGTTTGGGATCGCGTGCTTGGGAGTGAACCAGGAAACTGGATAAAGCTGGGCAGCCGGCCCAGACTCCTTCCCCGAGACAGCCTTTGCCTTTCTGCTCCCAGGTCTGCTTCCAGACAAGAGGTCTCCATTGACCTCACCCTCCTTAGGTAGCTAACACCTCCTTTATCTAGGCAGTGTGTCCTCCAGCCCCCTCCCCACAGACCTAAAAGACAATCTCATGGTTTCTAATTCCACAGTTCAGATTGGGGAAGTTGGTGGCAGTTTGTTTTCGTCACTGGAAAAATGTCCTTTTCTCTGACTTGGGCCTCGTTTTCGAGTTTCCTTGATTTCTGTCTACGTGCTTATCATCATTCTGTGGAGATCCTCAGAACTGGGGCTCCCTGGCTGTCTGTCCTACCTGGACGGTGTCTCTGAGGCCCGCCTCCTTCTCCATGCCTTTTCTTTTTCCAATCTTTCTTTCCTCATGGAGCTCCTTCCTGTCCAGTCCATTCCCTCTTCTTCCGAAACCAGTGTTTCCAGGACCCTGGACTCCTCCAGTCTGCGTGGTCTCACATCTTTTCATCCCCGCCTCCTGTCTCCCAGTCTCAGCTCATGACCCTTGTCAAGACTGCTCCTTCTGGGTCTACACCCATCAACCAGCTTCCCCATCCACTTATCTCTGTTCTCTCTGGGGCTGGATCACCGGGATTTAAGGCTCAGTTCAGCACCCTGACCTGCATGAACTCGGTCATGTGATGTGACTCCCCCCAGGCTTTGTTTCTCTGTTTCCAAAATGGCCATAATGATCACTACCTCATACTCGTTATGTTAAGGTTAACTAGATGGATGCATGTTAACTATTCAGTGTGTTAATCTCTTACTCCATGCTAAGCCCTTTTTCAGCTGTTAGGATTAGAGGTGAATGAAGTCCCTGAGGTCAAGTTGATGGTCCTGAAGGGAAATAGAACGCAGCAAGCAGAAAGGACTTAGTGAGTGCTCAGTGTCTGTTTTCTCCTCACTAGCAGTGTTAATAGTCACTACTCAATGGCTGCCAGGGCTTGAGAAAGTAAAAATAGCCTGGCTAGGTAGAGGAGAGGTCCGGATCCAGTTGTGGAGGCCCAGGTAGGGATGGGGCGCTATGAACAGAAGCAGAGCCTGAAGACAAGGGATGACAGAAGGCAGGTGAAGTCTACATAGGGCTGTCCACTGCCTCGTTGGTACTGAGCACAGCACCTATGAGGTGTCTGAGTGATCAGGAGGCGCTGGGGTCATGAGGGAGCAATGTATATGGCAGGGCTGTGACAAGGTCAACACGACCTTGTTACTCTCAAAGAGTTTAAATATAGGAGTCAAAATGACTTTAGAACAGGCTGGAGGAAAAGATACGCCAGGGCCTTGTGAAGTAGTGTCCTGGAGGCGGAACTGGGGGAGGGGGTTGGGCCCCAGGCCAACTGTCTTTTCTTGCTTACTGGTCTTTGCCTGTCTGCTGGGCTGAGCTTGCCTGCGTAGATCTTTGGCTCACGGAGAGCTCTTGAGAGCATGAGCTGTGTCCCACCCACCCTGGCATCTCCAGCACCCATGAGGATCCTGGAACGGAGGCCTTGACACTTGCCTGATGGCTGAATCAATTAAGGAGCAAGAGATTGGTCAGATGGGACCAGGGAGGGAGTGTTACATAGGAAAAAAGACTTGGAGCTGGCATCTGAAGCCAGGAGGGAGGGCAGAGGAGTTGGGAGCCTGGCTTCAGGGAATGGAGAGATGGGATTTTTTTTTTTTTAAAGATTTATTTATTTATTATGTATACAGCATGTATGACTGCAGGCCAGAAGAGGGCACCAGATCTCATTACAGATGGTTGTGAGTCACCATGTGGTTGCTGGGAATTGAACTCAGGACCTTTGGAAGAGCAGTCAGTGCTCTTAACCTCTGAGCCATCTCTCCAGCTCCGAGAGATGGGATTTTATGTTGAAGGTGGTCATTACTGGAGCTGAGCACCTCAGCTGGGGGTGGAGTAGCCAAGGTGAGGAGTGTGACAATGTGACACTGGGCACTCGTAAGTGTGTGAAGAAGAACCCTGAGCCAGTCAAGATGGCGCATGCCTGACATCCTAGAACGGGAGATGGAGGGGGAGATCAGTTCAAGGCCAGTTTGGGTTACACAGAGAGCTTGAGGCCAGCCTGGACTACATGAGACCATGTCGTAAAAAATAACCAAACAGGAAAAAAAAAATCCTGCATAAGGACCCAGGTGGAGGCCTGCTTCCCTCCCTCCCCCACCCCTCGCTTCCTTATTTATTCTCCAAGCATCTATTCTGTCCAGACTGTGTTCCAAATAGCAGTGAGGGGGCTGGAGAGATGGCTCAGAGGTTAAGAGCACTGATTGTTCTTCCAGAGGGACCCGGGTTCAGTTCCCAAATAGCAGTGAGTTATCTCTGACACATGTGCCCAGGGAAAGATTGATCCATGGAAATCATGTTTGAAGTCAGGCCCTGCAGGTGCAGAGGGAGATCCACACCCCAGTGGTACAAGTTGGAGCTTGAATGCAAATAAGAAAGTCTGTAGGTAGCTTCAGCCCCAGCAGAGGTTTGAGGTAGATGCATCACTGAGCCAGAAGGTTGATGCCAGCCTGGGCAACATAGTGAGACCCTGAGACCCCGCTGTGGAGTAGACAGAAGGAAGGCAGCGGCAGTCTCAATAGTCCAGGTGTGGGGCAACCAGAGGACACAGAGGGGTAGGGAGTTTACAGGAGAAGGGCCTGGGTGACCGTGAGGGCTTTGGCAGTTTTCAGCGTTGGAACCTAGAAGTTGGTGGTGTGACATGGGTCTAGGCAAGCAGACTGGTGAGTTCTGTCGGCGGGGGTGGGGGGGGGAGATGGGGGGCAGGTTAAGTAGGTCAGTGACTGGCCAAGTGGAAGTATGGTTGAACTGACTGGAGCATCAGTTCTCAGCTTTTCTTCTGGCTGCTTCCAGCTGCACTGACTCGTCAGCTGGGCGCAGAAAGAGAGGAGCACATGGCAGAATCGTGCACAAAAGGACCTGTGCACAAATGCATGAGTGTGGAAGTGAGTGGACCATTTTGAAAATGTCTCTCGGAGACAAGTGTGTCTCCGTGGCAGGAGGGATGCTTCTTCCCTACATCCTTGAAGGTATTACTGGCTCTGTCTGGGATGGAAGGCACCTTAGTCTGTCCCTCTAGTTCTGCAGGCCCGGATCTGGGTGATGAGACCAAGACATTGTCTGATCTCTTAGCTCAGAGGCTTTGTGGTCTGTTTGGGGAGATCATATCTCTTCATTTGAAATAACCAGCTTCTGATAAGAGCCCTGAGTAGATATGGACAGTTCATGATATTCAACACCAACAGGTGACTGGGTATCCAAAGAGCTTGGGTGGGGAAACATGAGTCATTAGTGGGGGCTTGGTGGGTGGGTGGGAGGTAGAATTTTGACAGAGCTCTCAGAGGAGGCCACGCCAATGAGTTCTTCACCCCACAGGTCTTGACATTATATGGAACAAACACATTTTAACGTAATGAACACGTGAATGCGGGGGACGGGCCTAGCGAGTGGGTCCCCCAAAAGGTGGCTGGGTCAAAGATTGACCACAGGGTCCACCTCGGCTTTTTTGCCCTATGTGCAGCCCCAGCACAGGAAGTCACACCTTAAAGCCTCCCAGGCGGAAGCTGAGGAGTAGTTAGAGACCGATGTACCACTCTCTCAAGCATCTTTCTACAGGCACCCTCAGCTTCCTGCCCCTCCTCTGCTCCAGGCAAAGGCCTTGGGGTTTAGCTCAGGACTTCGGATTTAGCTCCCATACACTGAGGTTTGCCTCATAATGCAACCGTTAGTAGGGCTGCTGGGTGCCTACTCAGAGAACCAGGGCCCTGGATTCCCTGGAGCGTGTGGGATACAGTATCCGTTTGCTTCCGGCTCTCTTGTTTGTTTGTTTGTTTGTTTTTGTTCTTTGAGACAGGGTTTCTCTGTGCAGCCCTGGCTGTCCTGGAACTCTGTCGCTCTGTAGACCAGGCTGGCCTCTCAGTGCTGGGATTAAGGCCAGACTCTCTTCATCCCTTCTAGCCTTAAGAGGCCTACTAGGTTATGAAGCCTTAGAGCTGGCCCTGTTTCTAAAGGATGGTCTCCGGAGCCCCCAAACCCAATGCAACTGGCCAGAAGCAGGCAGGCTGTGGGAGTGTGGTGGACGAGGGTGGGAGGGCGTCCTGGTTTTGTTTCTTGCTGGCACTGGGGAGTGTCAGGGGGCTGGCAGGAAAGCCTGGGGAGCCAGGGAGCAGGGATCCTGGGACAGGGTTTATCTACTGAAGACTTGTTTAATTTTTGATGAGGCATCAGGGCAAGTCCCAATCTAAAGGAAGGATGTTGGGGGAGGGGGGGAAGAGGGGAGAGGGCCTGTCTTCTGGGAGGAGCCTACTGACCTGGTGGGGGAAGCCAGGGGTCAGGAAGACTTCCCTTTGGGATAAAATGGAAAAAAGGAAGCATTTCCCCGAAATCTGTGGGCCCAGTGGGACAGGGGTCCGTTGCCTGGCTCTTTTTAAGGGAAAAAGGATAAAGAGCCCTGAGTGGGGGTGGGAAACAGACTGCTCACCGTGAAGGGAGGAGGTGGGGTTCTACTTGCCAGCTGGGCTTTTCTTTCTGCTGACTCACAGCCCTTGAAGAGCTGGGGAAGCTGCAGTTCCCTGTCCACTGTCCTAGGTCCCCCTCCCTCCCTGGCCTGAGTCACTGGGGCGGAGCTGCTGGGAACAGATATCCCTTTCCCGGATTTGTCTTAACCCCCAGAGTTCTGGAAAGGGAGGAACACATGACCAGAGAAACCGGGCTCCTTCTCTGGAGGCTCATCTGTCATCACTGGCGGAGATGTCCTTCCAAGGCTGTTCTTGGCCTGGAACCCACCTCTACCTCTTCCTGACGCTACCTTGGCCTGTTGGCTTTGCTTCAAGTTCTCTGCTGGGGTTGGAGGTGCCATTGACCTTAGGTGCTCCAAACATTTCTTCTTCGAGGAAAGGAACCACACTTTCATGATTGGGAAGTTCTTATCATAACTAATCCTTCCTGTCACTCTGGAAGCCTCTGCCCTCTATGTGTGGGGGGTGCACCCCTGCCTGAGAGATTGCCTGATGTGCTGTGTGTGGCTTCTTGGGTCAATCTCTGGCTGAGGCCCAGGCTTCCTGACCCGTGCAGCTGCAGCTGCTGCAGTAGCACTTGGAGTAACAGCAGCTGCCAGGTTGCACCTCCTTCCAAAAGAGCTGTGGAGGCTGCAGGGCCTTGAAGACAGCTTGAGTCTAGACAGCTAGCGCTCCTGTCCTGAATGTGATCTGATTGGTCCATTGCTCCTGCATCTGTGACACGTCTTGATGACGTCCTCTCCCTTTGCTCGAAGTGGCTCGTAGCAGGGGGTGGGGTGGGAAGGAAGAAAGCATGAAGGTTGAGGGAAACCCAAGTTGGGAGAGATCAAAGAGCAAGGTCTGAACTGAAGCTGAGATGACTTCTGGCTCTGCTGTCTCCACGCTGAAGTTCTTTACATACAGGAAAACTGTTTAGCTGCTGGGAGCTTTGCCAAGGTTATTAAAGCCGCTGTCTAGAACGTCCTGCTTGCCCGCGGGCTTTGGAACTCCTGGCATATCCTCAGCTCCTGGTTTGCTGGTCTTCTCGAGTCAGATGACCAGCCTCTGGCCGACGCTTGTCCTCGACCCACGTGTCTTTGCTCATCCCTGAACATTCCCGCCTGCCTTCCCTCTCCATTTGTCCTTGCCAGCCCGAGCTGCAGTGTAAGTTTGGCTGTGGGAGGCACGGGCTGCGAGGGCAGCTGCTGAGCAAGATTTGAAACAAATATCTAGAATTCGTGACTGAGTGTGTGGCTCAGGGCACGTGTGAGGTTCTTGGCTTCATCCCCGGCTGCCGCCCCTCTCCCCGCTCCCCCGCCAGGGACATCCCCACACATGCATGCACGTGATCATGCACAGAGCTCCTCCTTTTGTTCCTGCCCACTCCCAGGAATGGTGCTTGCAAGAACTTCATCCACCTGTGTCCCCAGCTGATTTTGTGTATGTGTGCATGCATACAGGTGTGGGTTCCTATCCCGCTGTGTCAACTTCAGGTGTTTTCCTCGGATACCATTCACCTTGTGTTTTGAGACAGAGTCTCTCACTGGGACCGGGGCTCACTGATTCAGCCAGGCTAGACTGCCCAAAGAGCTTCGGGGAGCTGTTTGTGTCCTCTCCATCACTGGGATTACAAGCCCATTCGACTGTGCCTGGCTTTATGTGGGTGACGGGGCTTGATCTCAGCTCCTCATGTTTGAGGATGACACTTTCCTGAAGCATCTCCATGGAAGCCCTCCCTACAACTTGATTCCCCCCCCCCCAGCACTTTTTATTAGTGCAATGAAATCCAGAAAGCTTTGCAAATCCTAATGGCTCACCTCTGAAGTGTCCACAAATGGGCACACTGTGACACCCGCACCCAGATATAGAAATGCCAAATGAACTTTAGGACTGTCTGTTGGAAGATAGACAGGCTACAACTGAAACAGCCTGCTAGTTCTGGGTGAAGACACTCCCTGGTGGGGCAGGGGTTATCGCTGAGATTCTGTGTGAGACCCCCGAGTTCCACCTCTAGCCCTGCAAACAATACCAACAGCTAAACATTTCCTTGACAGCTTTCCTGTGATTAGCATTGTGAGCTGCTTCAGAGTAAAATACAGTTAGTGGGGAGGGGGCTGAGACCTAGTTGCCCAGGGTTCTGGAAACAAATACTAGCACACAGAACCAGAGACCAAGACAATCCTAGACTGCACAGTAGACACAGTTTGAGGGAGAATGTTCCTCAGGGGGGATGGGAACTATGGGGGGAGGGCTGTCAATCTGCTGCCTCTATGGCCCCACCCTGACGGCATTTCCACCTTCTGATTTTCCCCCCAGGTGCTCCTGGCTCTGCTGGTGGGGATATACCCCTCAGGGGTCACTGGACTGGTCCCTTCCCTTGGGGAGAGGGAGAAGAGGGATAGTTCGTGTCCCCATGGAAAGTATGCCCACCCTCTGAACAACTCCATCTGTTGTTACAAGTGCCACAAAGGTAAGGGAGTGGGAGCAGTCTTCCTCTGCTTCTTTCTCACGGTCCAGAACCTCGGTCGCTGGGAGTCCCTTCCTTGGCTGCCTCCCCTGGGCTTGGGTTTTGTCCCCCAGTTCTCCACTGCGGCCTAATCCTGACCCCACTCACAGGAACCTACTTGGTGAATGACTGTCCAGAGTCAGGGAAAGAACCAGTCTGCAAGAAGTGTGACAATGGCACCTTTACTGCTTCCGAGAACCACATCAGACAGTGCCTCAGCTGCAAGACATGTCGGGACGGCAAGTCCTGGGAGTGGGCAAGGGGTCAAGAGGGAGCACTCTGAGAGGGCTCGGGAACACGCATGTGTGCACATGGATGTTTGCAAGGGGTTAGGAGTTGAGTCTGCTCGTGGGTATGATGGGAGCATGCGTGCGCACGCCAGCCTGGGTCTGTGTGCACAGGAGTGTTTATGTTACAGAGAAGAGATCAAGGCTCATGGTGAAGAGAGGGAGTCAGGACCTATATGGGAAAAGGGATGAGAGACTCATGACCATTTCCTTCCCTCTTCAGAAATGTTCCAGGTGGAGATTTCTCCTTGCCGGGCAGACAAGGACACTGTGTGTGGCTGTAGGAAGAACCAATTCCAGTACTACTTGAGTGAAAAACTCTTCCGGTGCACTGATTGCAGCCCCTGCTTCAACGGCACCGTGACTATCCCCTGTGAGCACCACTCACCCAAGTCCAGGCCCTCTCCCCTCCTCAGGAGTATCCTGCCTTTCAGGCAGAGGTTTCCACTTCTGTCCCCCCTCCCCATGAGGCAGCCTCTTTTCCTCATTCTCTGGTCTGTGGGTCTGAGCTCCTATGTGGTGCCTTCACCCTGCCCTTCTTCTTCCCTCTGGTCCCCAGAGTGCGGGCACACCTCCTCAGTCCTTCTCTCTTTTCTCAGGTAAGGAGAAGCAGGACACCGTGTGTCGCTGCCACTTAGGATTCTACCGACATGAAAATCAATGTGTCCCTTGCAGCCAGTGAGTATCTATCTGCCAAGTGGTTGGGGAGCTGGGATGGATGAGCAGCTGTAGCTGGATTAATGGAGGCACCCTACAACTGGATGAGAGAAAGGCACTACGTCAAGACATCAGATAGTCCTGTCTCTTTCTCCAGTACGTCAGGGGGTAGGCAATGTGGCTTAGCGGGTGAAGCGCTTGCAGCAAACGTCTGACGGGCTGAGTTCAATCCCTGGGACCCATGTGAAAGGAGAGCACATCAGTTCCAGTCACGCTCTGACTCCACACATGCGCCCTCGCATGCACGCCTCGCCAGTGCTGCGCAGCAGGATGCGAGCACCACCGTGCTCTTTCCTGCACCATTTGGTGTGCCTTACTGTTGACGATACCTTGGGTTTGCATAGGCCTCACCCCTGTGGTGATTCCTCCCCAGTCTCGTTGGCAGACTTCCTCATTCCTATGACTCCACTTGGGCTGTTCTTATACCTTTGCTTCCAGAGAAGCAACTCTGAGACTCTCATAGTTAAACTGACCTGGGGTTAAGTCCCAGCCTACCCATTTCCTGGCTGTGCAACCTTGGGCAAGTTAGTACATCTCCACACCTTACGTTTCTTAACCTTTAGAGTAAGGAGGTGGGGTGGGTGGAAGTGTGGTTCAGTGGTAGAGCACTGGCCTAGCATATTTGAGGCTCTGGGTTGGATCCCAGGATCAAAAAAACCCCAAAACGAAAAACTAGACCAGCAGCCTATGAAACTGTCTGAACCAAAGCTATTTACTTTCCATTTCTTTCCACTCAGTCTCATCTCTAAAGAGCTCATATACCCAATCCCATGTGCTTCCACCCTGACCTCGTGAGGTAGACAAAAAAAGCCTTTCCCTATCTTCAGATTTCTGCTGAGAACTCACAATCTCACATTCCTCTGCTCCGCTCCCCAGTGTGGCTTTCTCACACTCCCCCCCTCCTCCTCCCCGTGACAGCTCTCCGTGGAGGGCTCTCGGGCTGCCCCCGAGATCGACGTTCTAAACCCGCTCATGCCTGTGTGACCTGTCATCTCCAAAGTCAAGTGCTGTAAGCTGTGGTGTCATCAGAGACAAGGCCTTCAGCTTCTTGAATGAGTCATCTTTCTGGGCCTGTGGCTTAACCAGCCTAAAGCACAGGAAGATCTAGTTTATCACGGCTTCATTCATTCGGCTCACGAACGGTGTTCGGCGTTGTGGCTGTTGAGCCTGTGCTGAGGTAGAGCATCGTGATCAGAGCACACTGTGGAGCAAAGCTGCTCATCTCGTAGCAACTGAGAGGCAGAAAGGGTGTGGAGTGGGGTCAGAGGCAAGGCCCCCAGGGACCTAACTTTTACTAGGCCCCATGTCCCAATATGCTGGAGACTGAGCCTTCCACACATAGACCTGGCAGGATGTTCCAGATCCAAACCGTAGGCCTCTCTGTGCTACAGTCCCACCAGCAAACACAATGAGAGTTCACTGACGGAGGCCATCTATCAAGCCCACACCATGTCAGGGATCAGTACTTGACCCTTAGTCCCAGGAGCTAAGAGGTGGCACCATCTCCGTGAGACACTGGCCGTGAAAGTGAAACAGCTTGTTTGTGCCGTGGTACGAGTCAATGCCTGGAATGGATTTTATATTCCGACCATAACTGCCTTTTAAAATTTATTTATTTATTTATTTATTTATTTATTTATTTATTTTTTCAAGACAGGGTTTCTCTGTGGTGCTCTGGTGCCTGTCCTGGATCTCACTCTGTAGCCCAGGCTGGCTCTATCTCCCGAGTGCTGGAATTAAAGGCATGTGCCACCACCGCCCAGCTTTTTTTTTTTTTTTATTTTAAAAATATTGATTGGTTGTGGAATCCAGGCTCTTGAATGATATTCAAGTGTTCTACAATGGAGACACAATAACCTCAGCCCTATCAACCATTTTATTTTATCATTTACAAAGTTCTTTTGTTTTGTTTTGTTTTTGATTCAGGGTTTCACTGTGCAGCTCTGCCTGTCCTGGGACTCACTATGTAGACCAGGCTGGCCTTGAACTCACAGAGATCTGCCTGCCTCAGCCTCCCGAGTGCTGGAATGTGCCACCATAGCTGGCATTTAAAAATACTTTGTAAAAATATTTATTTTCATTTTATGTCTATGAGCGTCTTGCCAGCATGTATGTCTGTGCACCATGTACATGCCTGGTACCCTCAGAGGCCAGAAGAGGGCATCAGATCCACTGGAACTGGAGTTACAGATGGTTGTGAGCTGCCATGTGGGACTATGACTACTTTAAACTTATCAACACAGCCTACTTGCCCGTTATCTCCCCCCCCCACCCCCGCTTTCCTCTCTTGATTCTCTTTCTTGACCGGGTCTCCTGCTGCCCAGGCTGACCCTGACCTTGCTATGTAGCCAAGAGTGACCTTGAACTGTCCTTCTTGCCATTACCGCCCAAGTGCTGAGGCTCCATGCATACCCTAGCACTCCTTTAACTTGGAAAATGAAATGGTTGTATGAGGAACTGTTCCATTCCTCCGCATCAGTTCCCAAGGCAGGTTAAGTCCCACTGTACTAAGAGATAGCAAAAGCAATCGCAGGGGCAAAGAGCTCCCTCCGGCAGCCTTTCTACTCACCAGTATTGTCTCTTCGCTCAGATGCAAGAAAAATCAGGAGTGTTTGAAGTTGTGCCCACTATCTTCACTTAAACCCGACAACACCCAGGACTCAGGTGAGGCGGAATGGCCTGGTGCGCATGCTCACGGGCTGGCTGGCTGACCCCCTAGCCCCTCCCCCTCCTCCCCCTGAGCATCTTCTACTTTGTCTGCAGGTACCGCAGTGCTGCTGCCCCTGGTCATCTTCCTTGGGCTTTGCCTTTTATCCTTCATCTTCATCAGTTTACTGTGCCGCTATCCCCGCTGGAAGCCCAAGGTCTACTCCATCAGTGAGTGTGGGCTGTGTGGGTAAAGGTGTGGGTGGAGCTGCGGGAGCGGGGCGTGCGGTGGCCCCTTTGCTCATAGCTAACGGTCCTGGATGGTGGGAGGGAAGCCATACTATATCAGTAATTCTCTGGTCCCTGGGGCCACATAGACCCTGAGGCATGACACCACAAGTCCCCAAGGCCAGGGTGCTGGGGCTGAAAGGGAAGTGAAATTCATGATGCTTTCTTTCTTTTTTTTTTTTTTTCCTCAGTTTGTGGGAATTCGGCGCCTGTTAAAGAGGTGAGAGGAAAAGTATTTCAACTTCCTGACTATTCCTTCCCAATTCCTGATACCCAAATTACTTGGACTGGGAGTGGTGGGCTCCCTTAGTTCCTCCACCCCCACCCCCGCAAAGAATAAAGAGCCCGAAGGGGTTCTTTTTCTTCCCCTACTAATGCTTTGCCTTCTCTCTTTCAGACGGAGGTCCAAGGAATTGTTACTAGGCCCCTAACTCCAGCCCATGACCCAGCCTTCAGCCCCACCCCCGGCTTCAGCCCCACCCCCGGCTTCAGCCCCACCCCCGGCTTCAGCCCCACCCCCGGCTTCAGCCCCACCCCAGGCTTCAGCCCCACCCCAGGCTTCAGCCCTGTTTCCAATACCCCCATCGCCTCCAGCCCCATCTTCGACCCTAGTAACTGGCCGAACTTCAGGGTCTTGTCACCTGAAGGGACAAGGGAGGTGGTCTCAAACCAGGGTGCTGACCCTCTCCTCTACCCATCTTCCCCCTCCGGGCCAGTCCCCACCCCTGTTCAGAAATGGAAAGACTGCGCCCACCCGCAGCGACCTGACAGTGAGTTTGGGTTCCCGGCGGCGGCGGGGGCATTACTCCTGGAAGGAGTCCGGCAGGGCGGAGGCCGAGATGGCAGGGCTGCCGCTGGAAGCGCACGGTCCTTGTCCCCAGCTGCAGACCCCGTGACGCTTTACACGGTGGTGGACGAGGTGCCTCCGTCGCGCTGGAAGGAGTTCATGCGGTTCCTGGGGCTGAGAGATCACGAGATCGAGCGGCTGGAGCTGCAGAACGGGCGCTTCCGGCGCGAGACTCAGTACAGCATGCTGGAAGCCTGGCTGCAGCGCACGCCACGCCACGAGGCCACGCTGGACGTACTGGTCAGCGTGCTTTGCGACGACATGGACCTGGCTGGCTGCGCGGAGAACATCCTCGAGGCGCTGAGAAGCCCCGCCTCCTCGTCCGCGCCCCGCCTCCTGCGATGAGGCCCCACCCCCGCCTCAAGGGAGGGACTTAAAGGACAGTCCTGGCAAGATGCCCCGCTGCCCTGTGGGCCTCTTCTTTGGATGAAAAGGAGGGAAGGGCCTTGAAGGGGCAGGCTTGAGCTGGCAGCCGCTTCCTTGGTGCTACCCAGTCGGCGTCCATAGCTTTTCTCAGCGAGGACTGCCCCAGAGTCAGCCACTTGTGCATGGCAGCATATGTGCCATCTGTCTGCTCCCAGCAGGCTGGGGGTGCCAAAAGTCAGAACATGTGATCGAAGAGGAAAGGGACGCTATATCTCATTCCCACTTGGGATGCACAGGGCCCAAGCAAGGCTTCTCGGGGCCTCCCCAGTTGGTCCCTGGGCCTTTTTCACAGTAGGTAAGCAATAATTTTTTATCAATTATCTCACACTAATGGAAACTCGGCCTCCCTTTGCTCCCTGCCTGGACGAACACAGCTGAACTGTCTAAGGTAGGGGCAAGCACAGGACAATGGGGTCTCCAGGTGGAGCCGTGGACACTTGTAAATACACTAAAAGTCTAAAAATGACCTCTGACCCTGGAAAGAGTGGTCTGTGGGTAGGAGAGGCTGGGCAGAGCCCAGAACCTGTAAAGTGGCATGGGAAGTCCAGCCATCCTGCTAGCTCACAGACTGTGCAACACGACCCCATGGGTGCCCATGTTTCCCTCCTCCCACCATGTTGACCAAGCATGGTTGAGCAAACAGGCATGTCTCCTGGGCACTTTTATGTAGGGCTCAGAGATGTGTCTGTGAGACACAAATGTACAGTTCTCAGAGCAGGAGGCGGGTGCCTGGGCCGAGCTTGGTTTGAAGTGGGTCCTTGAGGTAGAGTCCAGGGGGAGGGAGGTGACCAGCACTCTTGGGGAGACAGTTCCTCCAGGAGATGCGCCAAAGGGCCTCGGCATCCCTCACACTTCTCTGTAAAGGAAGGAGATAGCTCCATTAGGTTGAGGTCAAGCAACAGGAGTGGGGGGGACAGTTACAGCTGAGTACCCTCCCCTGTGTCGGTCCCGGCCCTCACCGCCTTCCTTAGAATGGCCCCTCACGTCATACTGCCCTCCTGTCCCATAGTAGTCTCCCTCCTGCACTTACGATGTGGACAGGGGGGTGTCCAGCTGTATGATGTGGGTCCCTCTCATTCTCTGCAACTGGGCTCTAGTCAGCTTCCGGGGCTTGTCATCCCCAGGTTCCGAGGCTCCCTCGATCCTTTGGGTGGCCAGCTCCTCCCTTATCTCCCTGAGCATATCCTCGGCCCGCAGGGGCCGGGGGCGGAGTCCAGGGGATAGAGGCCCCTCTTCTTCATCGGAGGACTCCCAGGGGCTTTCCTCAGCAGAGTCAGTCTGGGTGGGAGAGTGGGGGAGCGGGCTGCGCCGCTGTGCCCTGTTTAGGGTTTCTACCACCACATCCCGTGTGGTCAAAGTCTCATCTTCCTCCTCGGACCAGGCTGGGGGGCCTCTCCTGGGTAGACTGCCTCCTCTCAGGATCCCATCCGGCAAATCTGGGGCACTTCGTCGCTGGGGAGCTTGGGGGTCAGGGGGCTGGGGCCGCAAAGGAACATCTCGGAGTTCCAGGGTAGAGAAGGTAAGACGAGGGTCCCTACGAAGAGCTTTGGACCGGAGCCTGTTCAGCGGAGAGTGAGAGTTCTTGGGGGAGCTTGTAATCAAGGTGCCATAGCCAGAGTCCGAGGTGTCATCGGGCATAGAGGGAGCATCTTCATCCGTGTCTTCAGTCACCACTAGGCGGGGGACGATGCTGAGCTCCAAAGTCCTATGGTTAATAGCAGAAAGTCAGACCGAGATAATGAGGATCAAATTCAAGCCCAGGAAGTCTCCCCCATTACTCCACTCAGAAATGTCTCCTCCTCCAGACTTACTGTCCTGTCTCTTCACATAACACTGATTGTTTTCGCCACTGCCCGGGCTAGAATTGTGCTCTATAAAAGACCTTGGGTACCCACTTCTTTTACACAGCACATATACTGAAATTGGAATTACACACAGAAGATTACAGTTCCTGTGCAAGGTCACGCAATTTACGAAGTGTTGCATATTTTAAAAAGAAAAAGTCGAGACTTTGAGCTAAGTTGGGTGTGGTTGCTCAGGGGGGATGTCATGAGTTCGAGGTCAGCCCGAGCTACATGTCTTAAAAACAAAAACAAAAAGAACTTGGGCTGCCTCTGAGCTATTCTATCCACAGCACCTGGTTCAGACCTCACATCAAGCAACTGGTCTCATATTTGCTGACTGGGTCCAGTGGGGGGTTTCTTTTCTCTGGAAGCATGTTGCTAAGCAGCTGTATCATCCTGGATGAACCTCTTACACTCTGGGGATTTGAACTTGCTGTGTCCTGGAAGTGTTGATAGTCTGAGAATCCATATCCACCTTCACTCTGGAGCCTGCTCCTCACAGGGAGCTCACACGCCATGTTTCTGCTTCCTTTGCCCTGTGCCCACCCTGTCCCACGCATCCCTTCACATGGTGGCTACCTACCTGTTCCACTCCGAGCTGCTGCTGGTGTTCCTGTACCCACACCAGGGCCCCCAAGGCTGTACTGACTCATCTCGGGCCTGTTAAACCTCTCCTCCCTCCTCCCCACCTGTGGCCCCCTCCTTTGAGGGCACACTTGAGTCTTACCTCCCCTCGGCACTGCTCTGAGAGTCCTCTGGGGAAGGAGTGGAGGGTCTGGTGCTGGGGGACTCCCTGCCCTGGTCGCGATAGATGGCCAGGAGCTCCCTCTTCTGTTGAACATACTCCTCAGCCTTCAGCCTCTGCAGAGTGGCCTGGGGAGGAACTTCCATTACTATGATCTCTCATTTATTGAGCACTTGCTGTATGCGGGACACGGTACTAATGGCTGTACCAATGGTGTCTTTACTCCTCCTAACACTCCTCTGAGGCACAGGTGTTTACACTTCCTTTCCTACCAAGAAAGAACCAGAAGGCTAGTGACCACCTTAGGAGTATTCTTACAGGAAGGGAGCACAGTGGTGCCAAGATGTGGTGGCACCAAGCTGCAGAGCTGGTGCTGGAGGCAACTGGGGAGGACAGAGTCCCTTTCCTCCTCTATCACGTGCCTGCTTTTCCTGTCTCCAGGGATGCTCCTTGTCTCTTAGGAAGCTCTCCATGACTGGGATGAGGTGCTGCAAGGGCTCTGAGCCATACTGGTCCTTAGGTTGCTCTTTTGGGCACATTCCTCTCCCGTCACCTTGGCCTCTGTCCTGAATGTAGGAGGAGCAGGGGCATGCCTGTCCTAGGCTGAGGACTCTTCTGTCCCTTAGATGGGTGTAAAAGCATCTGTCCCAAGATGGAAGAGAAGATGACACATGTCTGTGTTCCTTCTCCGGAGTTTTCATACAGAATAAAGCAGTGGCAGCTGAGAGATGGCTTGCAAAGTACTTCCATATGCATGGGATGCTTTGTCACACACCGTCACCCGACAGTGTGGAAAGCATGGCTCAGTTTACAGCTGCCAAGACTGGCTTTAGATGCAGCTCCTGGCCAAGGAGGCAAGTGGAGAGGAGAGCTGGGTGAGGATGCTCTGTAAGTCCTAGTTCAGTGACTGCAAGCTCTGCAAAGGCAGGCTTGATGGGCCATGAGCTACCACAGGAGGATTGTGTAGGGGGAGACAGCAGAGCCTGAGGGCACACACACAGGGTAGGTGGTAGGGGGAGGCTTGGCATGAGGGTAGAGGTGGCTGCTATGGGCAGAGTGGGCATCAGTATTCATAGGTGTGCCTAAGAAAATACCCAAGTGCTTCCAGGCTGGTAAAGAAATGGCCATAGGCTGGGCATGATCCCAGCATTTGGATCATAGTGGATCCACCTGAGGCAGGTGGATCTCTGAGTCCGAGGCCAGCCTAGTCTACATGGAGAGTTCCAGGTCAGCCAGAACTCTACAGTGAAACCCCATCTCAGAAAGCAAGCAGAGGGAAGGAAGGAAGAAAGGAAGGGAGGGAGGGAGGGAGGGAGGAAGGGAGGAAGGCTTGCAGCTGGAGTCTTCTGTCTCCCTTCCCTGGCATCCCCATCACAGCAGCTGCTAAGGGGCTGCATCTGGCATAGAGTAGGGACCTCAAGTGTCCCCCCACCCACCCCATACAGTGCTCTGTTCTGACCGGTGCTAGGCTAGCCTGGTGGCTCCATATCTGTACTTTCTCGTCAGCTAGGGGAATGTGAGCCAGCAGCCCTGGGGCTCCTAGGCTTCTCCAAAGCTTCTGTAGGAGCGTGGGGGCGGCTGGGTCAGGACAAGACATGCTGGAGGAGGGTTGGGCAGGCATAGGAAAGTGATATCAAGTGGACAGTTCTAACTGTCCTTCCCCTGGCTTCCCAGTCACTGAACCGGAACAGAGGAGAGACCTGGAGGCAGGAAGCTAGCACACCAGGCCAGTTCCCATGTCCCTCTTCCTCAGGCTTCATCTTCCAGCTCAGCGTGAAGCGGGAAAAGGTACAAGCAAAAGGATGGCTCTGGGATGCACAGCCTGTTTGTTTCGGGGAGATGCCCTTTGCCCCACAGGCCCCAAGTTCGAGTTTGTGATGGGATGTGATGGGATGCCCAGGACAGGGCTGTGGTGTGGAAGGAAAGAGGGAGAAGAAACAAGGGCGTCTTTGAGGCATATCCGGTGGCAGCATCTCCACTAAGCTGTCCCTGTCCCTCCTCAGGAAGAGCAGGAGTGGGGGATCCCAGGCTGCAGAGCACAGGGCTTCCAGCTACCTCAAAGCCTGAGCAGCAGGAGTCTTCTGGGCTATAGGTGAGCGGTATAGGAGAGAAAGAGCTCGAGTGTGGTGCCCCACACTGAAGAAAGGGGGGCTCCAGAGCAAGACTCCTGGAAAATTCCCAAGATAGAGTGCTTTCGCTCTTTGCAGGTCCTTGGGCACAGCACGTTCTCCCAGTACTGGATGGCAAGGGATCTGTGAGTGGTGCCCCTTGCCTCTCTCGGCCACCACACCAGTGCCTTCTTCCAGCTCCACACCTCCTACCACGCCTTTCTTCTCCTCCTCCTTCGTCTTCTTTGTTTTGTGAGACTAGATCTTTCTATGCAGCTCAGATCCAGAACTTGCTGTGTAGCCCAGGCTAGCCCCGAACTCATGATCCTCCTGCCTCAGCTTTCTGGGTGCTGGGATTATAGGAGTTCTCAGCTAGTTCACCCCTTTCCTATACGCAGAACAGTGACACACACTTGTGGAGCACAGGGCCTCAGGCCAAGCCACTGGCTTGCTGGCTATCACTGTCCCCTCCCAGGTGGCAGGCCAGGCTTAAAAGGGGAAGTAACTTGCCAAAAACGCGGGGTGGGCTCTGGGTTCTCCTCTAAGTCTTCTTCTTGGCTTCAATTGGCCCCACTTTCATTTCTTGGCCTGTACCTCCGAGGGTTCTTTTATTCCCCCCATCAGTTCCTTTTCCTCTTCCCAGCCAGTAGGTCTCCCCACCCCCACCGGCAAGCTCATTTTCTGTTAAAGCATGAGCAACCTCTGTAAACCCTCAAGGGAGATACCTCACTGACACTTCTGCAAGGAAAGAAGAAAAAATCTGAGCCCTGGGTAGTCGAGGGACCAAGAGATACCCTATTGTGTGTGTGTGTGTGTGTGTGTGTGTGTGTGTGTGTGTGTGTGTGTGTGTGTGTGTGTGTGAAGACCCCTAGTAATCCAGAGAAGGATGTTTTGGATGGATTGCAGTATTTCAGACTTGGAGTTGCTGAAAGCTTCGCTATAAGTTTGGTCATAGAGCAGAACTGATGCTCTGTTTGTCACCCTGCAGAGACTATCAGGGGCTGTCATTCTGCATATGAACACCAGTAAGTTTCCAAAGGAAGAATGTGGGAGAAAGGTTGTTCTAAAGGAACCAAAGAAAGGGAGAAATTTCAGAAAACCGGATAGTAAAAGACCAACTACAGATGTAGTGAGATAAGTACAGCAGTGCACATCCACGCACCCACCCGCACAAGCAGACACACGTACACAGTACCCCTGTGGCACCCACCCACCCACACAAGCAGATGCATGTACACAGTACCCCTGTGGCACTCACCCACCCACACAAGCAAACGCATGTACACAGTACTCCCTTGTGGCACCCACCCACCCACACAAGCAGATACATGTACATAGTACCTCTGTGGCACCCACCCACCCACACAAGCAAACGCATGTACACAGTTCCCCTGTGGCACCCACCCACCCACACAAGCAGATACATGTACACAGTACTCCCTGTGGCTGGGAATGGAGTTCGAGGTCAAGCACTTTCCTGATACAGGGAAGACCCTGGATTGGAGCCCCAGCTCTGCCAACAAGCAAGACAAAACTAGCCGAACTCAAATCTCCATCTCTCTTTGCCATTCCTATCCCACAGTGGGCTGACTGACAGCAGAAAGCTAGGTCTGCAACCTGAACCCCAGAAGCCACAGATGTGCCCGCCCTCAGTCGGGAAAAGGGTCTTTGAAGATGTGACAGGACCCGAGGTGGCGATCTCAGACGGTGCGCTCTGCACTTCAGGTGCACTCTGAAGTTGGCGTCTGCCATCTTCATAAGAAAGGGAGGGAAATTTGGACACCAGTATACGGAGGGGAAAGCCAGAGATGGGAGGTGGGGGTTGCTGCTCCAAGTCCAGGCACTGAAGCCATCAACAGCTGGGAAGAGTCACAGATTCTCCCCTAGAACCTAGGCAGGAAACTCAGTTCTGTCAACACCTTGATTTTGAACTTGCGGCTTCCAGAATTGTGAGGGATTCTGTTTCTGGACTGCTTGTTTTGTGTGGATCTGTGGCTCAGTCAGCTCCAGGGTCTTGTTCATGCCAAGCATGTACTCTCCCACGGAGTGACCCTCTAGCCCAGTTTCAGTTGTTTTAGCCACTGAATTTGTAGTAACGATCTCAGCTTTACTGATGGCTCTCTTTTTTGAACTCCTGCTTTTATCATATAAATCTGCTTTCATCACTACTCTGTTTAAAACCTCCAGTGGCAGCCGGGCGGTGGTGGCTCACGCCTTTAATCCCAGCACTTGGGAGGCAGAGGCAGGCAGATCTCTTTGAGTTCGAGGCCAGCCTGGTCTACAAAATGAGTTCCAGGAAAGGCACGAAGCTACACAGAGAAACCCTGTCTCGAAAAACAAAACAAAACAAAAACAAAAAAACAACCCCCCCAAAAAAAACAAAAAACAAACAAACAAACAAAAAACCCCTCCACTGGCTCCATATCGTCTGTGGGACAAAGTTCAAGCTCTTAGCAGGGCCTTAGAGATGGGCATGATCCTGTGGCATAATCTCCTGGACCCACATTTATATGTCACACCCTGGCATTGTCAAGCAATCATCCTGCTCTGTCCTGCACATACACACGCTGGTGCACCCACCCACCCAGTTATATGCACACACCACACACACAATACACGACAGACAGACACACACACACACACACACACACACACACACACACACACACACACACACGGCGGCGATGGGAGAAAGTGTGGCAGGGTGAGCAGACATGACACGGTCCTGCGTGGCCCAGGCTGAGCTCTAGAGTTTGTATGACCTTGGGCCAGCCCCGTCTCCTGCCTATGAAGTGAGAGACGGGCCCAACTTGACGCCCTCCCAGCTCTCAGTGGTTCTCTCCACACACGAGACTGTGACTTATTTCTGGATTTTTGTATTTGGCGTCCCCTCCTTCCTTTGTCCCGCTGACATTCGCCTTTGTGTCCCCTGTCTGATGCCATGGCTCCTCCCCTAATCTCCCTCCGCATGGCGGCTTTTCCAGCAGGAAGGTGGGGCAGAAGGCATGGCCCCCTTCTCTCTTGCTGTCTTCTGAGTATTTGCTGTTATTTGTCCTCTGATTACCCTAATGAGCTGCAGCCCAGACTCCTGCAGGGCAGGAATGCTGTGTTCATTCCTTCTGATTCCCTGGCACCTAGCCCTAGCGTCTGTCCCCAGAGAGCGCCCCCCTGGGTGTCTGAACAGAAGATAAGGTTTAGAAATTCATTGCTTCAGTGTGGTCATTAGGGTGTACCCCGTCTTGGGCTGGCTCAGTAGCTGGATATGGGCTTTCTTAGACTCTGTCCTCCTCTGGAAGGCACCCAAGTCTGGTCAAGTCTGCACCTGCCCTCAGCCCTGCCTCTCTGCCCTCCTTCACCCTTCTGAGCTCCAGGGGTGCGTGCTCCCCCCTCTCCAAGCCTGACTGCCCCCTACCTGAGCCTTCAGGGTCTTCTCCAGCCACCGTGAACGATCTGTTGAGCTGGGACAGTGCACAGTGAGGGCACTGGAGACACACTGGAATTCAGTGAGGTGGATCAGCAGGAAGCTGTCTGCACAGAGAAGAAGCTCTGCTTTAAGGACTGGGCCTTATCTGACCCCAATCCCGACCCTTCCTCCTCTGGTAGAAGAGACATACGGGGGTCTCGTAGTGGTCGGCACACAAGTTTCTCCAGCATGAGAGGGGGACGGATGACCTTGGCCTTGTCTGCCTTGCGTTGAGGCTTGGTTATCAGGAGCACATCAGAGAACAGGAACAGGTACACATCCAGCTGTGGAGAAAGAGGCAGGGTCAGCTAGAGCCAGGGGAGGGGCTGAGCCGGGATCCTGGCAGTGCTATGGAGTGCTGGGAGGGCATAGACTTGGTCCCATCTCTTGATTTATAGGCAGACAACAGGTCTGGCTCAAGGTCATACAAACAACTGGTGTTCAGGCAGGACCAGGACCATGTCCTTTTGCCCAGCACACCACACTGTTCCATTGCTACCTTGTGTGTGCTGTGTATTACGCGTGTGGTATGTGTAAGTGACTGTGCGGGTGTTTGGGCCAGTGTGCCCATGTGCAGGAGAGGACAGGATGCTGGGTGTCTTGCTCTATCACTTCCACTTTATTGCTTTAAGATGAGGTTGACTGGCCAGGGAACTCTTGGGATCTGCTTGTTCTCCTCATCCATCCTGGGGCTACAGATGCAAGCAACCATGACTAGCTTGCTTGCTTTCTTTTTTAAACACTTGTTTTATTTTAGTAATGTGTGTTTCTGTGTAAGTATGTGCATGTGAGTAAAAGTGCCCAAGGAGGCCAGAAGAAGGTTTTTGGATCAGCCCCTGGAGCTGGAGATACGGGCAGTAGTATGCTACTTGACAATGGGTGCTGAGAAATGAACTTGAGTCCTCTGCAAGACCAGCAAGTGCAGCCTGGCGGTGGTGGGGCACACCTTTAATCCTAGCACTTGGGAGGCAGAGGCAGGTGGATCTCTGTGAGTTTAGTACTGGCCTGGTTTACACAGTGAGTTCCAGGACAGCCAAGGCTACACAGAGAAACCCTGTCCTGGAGAAGAAAAAAAAAAGACCAGCAAGTGCTATTAACACCCGAGTTGCCTCTGTTGAGGATTCAAACTTTTTTTTTTTTTTTTTGTCAGAGCTGAGGACCGAACCTAGGGCCTTGCACTTGCTAGGCAAGCGCTGTACCACTGAGCTAAATCCCCAAGCCCGAGGATTCAAACTTTTAAAGTTAGGTTTTCACATTTTTTTGTTTTGTTTTTTAAAGTTTGGGGCCAGTTTGGTAACCTACAGCTTCTTGATTTTTCTTTAAAAGATCTACCTATCTAACTGTCTGTCTGTCCATCCATCCGTCCATCCATCCATCCATCCATCCATCCGTTCATCCGTCCATCGATTGATCTATCTATCTATCTATCTAATTTTTTTTTGTTTTTTTTTGAGATAGGGTTTCTCTGTGTAGCCCTGGCTGTCCTAGAATTCACTCTGTAGACTAGGCTGGCCTCAAACTCAGAGAGATCCACCTGCCTCTACCTCCCGAGTGCCGGGATTAAAGGCATGCACCACCACCACCCGGCTGAAAGATCTATATATTTTTTATTTGATGTGTATGGATATTTTGCCTTCATGTATGTGTCTGCACACCACATGTATGCAGTGCCCAGGGAGGTCAGAAGAGGTGTCAGATCCTTGAGCTGGAGTTACAGACTGTGGGGAGCTGCCGTGTGGGTGCTGGGAACTAAATCTGGGTCCTCTGCAAGAGCAGCCAGTGACTTTAACTGCTCAGTCATCTCCCCATGCCCGGGTCCTCAGGCCTAAAGAGCAAATGCTCCTACCCACCTGGCCATCTCTCCCAGCCCTGTTTCCAGCTTGCTGGCCTCTCATCCGGGTCCTTCCATGCCCTGCTTCACCCTCACCTTCCCTTCTCGCCCTTCCTTCATGCGCACAGGCCCTTCCAGCAGCAGCTGCCTCGTGTGCTCCTGGGCAACCCCTAGTATAGGAGTCATGAGATCCAGGGTGGAAAACGGACGCAGGTTCTGAGGGAACAGAGGAAGCAGGAAAGGGATCGGGGCGCCATGCCGGTGTGCCTCTCCATCCCAACCCAGGGTGGCTCCTTGTGCACCACCAGCCCATCCTTTCTGTACCTGGAGCCACAGCAAACACCCCAGGGTCCCCTCTTTAGTCTTCTTGTTTACCCTTTGGGCTCCTCCCACAGGAAGAAATACTGGGCACACCCAGCGGTGGCACTCAGGTACAGAATGCGTTGGCCTCTGCCCTCTCCGGCCAGGCTTCTCCTTTATCTGCTTTCCTGGAGCCTGGCATGTATGGAGCCCATTCCTCACCTTCTCCACCTCCTCGTTGGAGGGCTCCAGCACCTCATAGGGTCCTATGCGCTGAGCCGCAGCCGCCAAGCTCTCCTGCTCTTCACCCTGGCGGACCTGTCCATTTATATGTCGCAGGAAGGACTCCACAGCTGCAATCTTGGCATGTGAGGAGCAGAAGAAGCATAGCTGAGCCCAGCCTATCCACCCAACGGCAGCTACAGCACTCTAAAATAGGCCTAGTGAGTCAGTACTGTGTGAGGAATGAGACCTCAGGGACCTCTGGAGATAGTCTTACCCCTCACCCACCAACAGCCCCCCCCCACACACACACACACAAGGGCCGTAGCCTCACCTGAGTACCTACCATGGCGTTCAGGGCCTCTTGGGCTCGGGGCTCGGGGCTTCTCTTGAGCACAGCCTGCAGCAACAGTGGGTACTTGGTGATGCGCTGGTGGGGTTTGATAAGCAAGTCGCCCAGCGTCTGCCTTCCCGAGCGTTTGTGTTTCTCACACCACTGCAGGGGGAGGTGGGTAGAGCTCAGGAGTCTGCAGGGACCCTCCTGCCTGCACCTCCAGTGGCTGCCTCAGCCTTGCACCACCCCAAATGAAGCCTGGCATGACCTGGCTGTGCAGCTGAACCCCTCCAGCCTCTATGTTCCACGGCACCCCACCTGCACGAAAGTGTGGAATGAAGGGTTCGTGTCTTGCTGCTCCCGGGCATAAGCCATGGTCTGCTTCACTCGCAGGCAGTACTGAACGTAGGGCAGGAACCGCTGGCCAAACTGGAGTAACAGATTACAGGCAGACAGAAGAGGGTCGTGAATAGACTCTGGCTGCAGAACATGGCTGCAGGCTGAGGAGAGAGAGCCTCACGCAGCCCCTAAATGAAGCCCCGGCCAGCCTCTACCTCCCAGGATGTCCCCCACAGCCAGGCCCCTCATTTTGTGCTCCAGAGAAGACTAGACACCCCGAGAGTCAGGCCCTGGCTACCCTTGGAGTTCATTCTGTCCGTGGCACTGGCTGTGCCTGCTCCTCAGGACTCGCTCTCTTTCTATCAATAATTCAACTCGACTGTTTTCGGGACGCTGGGGCTCCTATTTCTATGACCTAAAAGTTATCCAGAAGCCCTGCTCAGAAGGAGGTGGGGGAAAGGCTCCCAGGAAACTGCCCTCACCCCCTGGCTTTTTACCCCATCCCAATGTTTCCTGCCAGCCCAGAAACACTATAGAAAAAGTCTAGATGCAGCTGTTCTTTTTCTCTTACCACTCCACACTCAATGCCCCTGTGGCCTTTTATCAAGCCCTCCAGCCCCAACTAAGTCCTCGCAGGCATCTCCTTGCTTAGGCATCATTCTTTAAGAGACATTTTTTAAAAATTTTATTTTATGTGTATGAGTGTTTCATCTGCGCACACACTCGCATGCGCAAGCGCACGCATTGTGTGCGTGTGTGTGTGTGTGTGTGTGTGCACGTGTGTGTGCGCGTGTGCCATTTGCATGTCTAGTTCTCTTAGGTCAGGTCCCCCTGAACTAGAGTTACGGAGGGTTGTGAGCTAGCACGCAGGTGCTGGGAAACAAACCCAGCTCGTCTGCAGGAGCAGCCAGTGTTCTAACTGCTGAGCCGCCTCTCCAGCCCTTTAGGCCTCATTCTTGCGCTTAGTTATTTGCTGATGGATCTCAAAGGAATGATTAATATTTTATAGCTGCCAAGTAGGGCGCACTTGCTATTACAGCACTTGGGAAGCTGAGGTAGGAAGGTCTTGAATTTGAGGCTAGCCTGGGCAACATTGCCAGACCCTGCCTTAGAAGAGAGAGAGAGAGAGAGAGAGAGAGAGAGAGAGAGAGAGAGAGAGAGAGAGAGGGAGGGAGGGAGGGAGGGAGGGAGGGAGGGAGGGAGGGAGGGAGAGAGAGAGAGAGAGAGAGAGAGAAGAAAAAGAAAAAGAAAAAAGGAAAACAAACAAACGCAAGATTGTGTAGCTGGTGAGAACACACCCTCGTCTGCACCCAAGGTGCAGATATTTTCATTTCATGAGGGACTCCAGAAGGTCATGCTTGTGGGATGGAATGGAGGAGATGAGGTTATATTTTAGAGTTGTGCCCCCTGGATCCTTTTGGGCTGACTTCATCTTGCTCTTTCTGGGTCTCCCCACACTCACTGTCAGGAAGCCATTTTGTAAGCTGACAGGGTCCAGAGGCTGGCCAGAGGTTCGAGTCTCTTCCAGGATGGGCTGCATCACCTCTTCCCAAAAGCTCCGGTGGGCTCTAATCAGGTTGGGGACATTTCCAAACAGGGTCTCAGCTGACACCTGGAGGAGTGGGCAGGACTTATAACAGACCTTTGTGGGGTCACAGCCAGGAAGGGACAGGTAAGGACTTTCAGCTTCAGTGACAGGGCTTGGGAGGAAGCGAAGAGCCTGGCAGTGACCTGGAAGACCCTCTACCCCTGTGGCACCAGGGGAGCTAGGGGCCTGCGGCATGCTGGGGGTCTAATGCAAACGGGAAGTGTAGGGAAATCAGGGGTGTCCCAGAAAATGGGGCTGTGGGAATTCAGCCTGCCCAGCCTGGAGGGCTCGCTGTGCCCCCCCCCCCCCCCGCCCCCCGCCACGTTTCCACTCACTTCAGTCAGCAGTCCCACTCTCTGCAAATTCAGCAGACCAGCTGCCAGGAGCTGGAGGCAGGGAGGAAGACGGGCTCAGCACCTGGTCTCCCTCCTCCAGGGTCTCCCCAAGCCCACCCTCTTCAGTCTTCTCCTCCCGACCGACCCTGAGCAGGTCTGAAATCATCGCCTGGAATCTTGCCCTCCAGCCCCCAGCCCAGCCCTTCTGCTCCGGGAGCAGGAGCGTGGAGATCATTCTAAGGACCCAGGGAGGGAGGAGATGAGGTTGAGGCTGAGGGTGGCTCACATCAGTCATGATCTTGAGCTTCCTCAGGTAGCTCAGCTCCGTGGTCAGGAGCTCCCACAGTGCTTCCTGCTGATGGCAAAGCTCACGGTTCATCTCCTGAGGGGAACAGTGCTGGTTCACTTGGGGAACGCTGATAAGAGCAGGCGCCATTTGTTAAGCGCTACATCTGTGCCATGGGTTCTGGTCCTTCAACACAGGACCAGTTTCATCCTAACCATCCCTCTAGTTTGTAGGTAGCCCCACCCCCATTTTCCATATGAAGCAAGTGAGGTGTGGAGAGGTCCTCCACCACAACCCAGGCCTCACAAGTTGGTGGCAGAGCTGGGATTTGAACAAGATCTCTAGAGGCTTTCCCCTCTAGATGCCATATCCCAAGGCTTTGCCTTTCCCAGGGCAGAAGTGAGGTACATGCATGCACGTGTGGAGGAGGGTCTGATGCATCACGGGGACACAGACCATGTCAAGCCCACCTCGTGTCCAAGCACTAGCTCCTTCCAGGACTTTTCCATGGTCAGGCCACTGTCACCTCCCTCTCCTACTTCCCAGTGTCTCCGGTCCTCAGGTGGCAGTCGCGGCATCCCAAACATGCTGAATGTGTGCAGTCTCACCTCCAGCTCATGGGCCTTGGTGACTTCCTGGGAGAGCAGAGAAGGGGATCAGTCTGACACATCCCCACCATCTGGTGCCCAGGCTCTGGAAAGGTTGTGTGTGCACACACATGCATACACACGTGTGCCGGGTGCGGCCTGAATAGGGTTGTTATTACCCAGGAAATGAAGTTACACTTCTGTCTGCAGAAAGATCCCTAGGGAGAGGGGTTTGAGGGGATCTCCCTGACCAGAACGATGCCTTCTTGAGGTTTCCTCACTCAGAACAGGGTGAGGGGCAGAGGCAGGTTTTTCAGAGTGGTTCTTAAGAATTGATTTTCTTTACTTAAAAAACAAACAGCCTGTCTTGGGTCATGCTGTAAATTGAACCCAGGGCCTTCTGCATGCCAGGCAAGCCCTCTACCACTGAGATATACACACCAGACTAAGGAATCTTCAAGTAAGGACCAGGACTAGACTTAAGAAAGCACGGTCTCGGCCGGGCGGTGGTGGCGCACGCCTTTAATCCCAGTACTCGGGAGGCAGAGCCAGGCGGATCTCTGTGAGTTCGAGGCCAGCCTGGTCTCCAAAGCGAGTTCCAGGAAAGGCGCAAAGTTACACAGAGAAACCCTGTCTCGAAAAACCAAAAAAAAAAAAAAAAAAAAAAAAGAAAGCACGGTCTCAGTTAATGACGACATAATATGTACCATTTTTGTTTGTTTTTAGATGGAGACTTACTATGCAGCTCAGGCTAACTTTGAACTTGCAATCCTCCTGCCTCAGCCTCCTGTGTGCTGAGACTATAAATGTGCATCACCGTGCCTGACTTAAAGTGGAGATATTTATGAAGCATCCCGTCTTAAAATTTAGAACTGTTTTTTGGTACCAAATGATGTGGGAAACAAATAATTAACTCTAAGCCCCACTCTACCCTTAGTGTGACATGGGAGGACGTGGCGGGCTCACAGCTGGGGTGAAGGTTGGTGGGGGAAGTAGGGATGAGTAGATTGTCCCTGGCGCACACATTACTTGGTACTTTCCAAAAGCTGGGAGTTTAATATTAACAGTTTAGCCTAGCTGGGTGGTGGTGACACACACCTTTAATCCCAGCACTCTGTGAGTTATAGAGGTCAGCCTGGTCTATAGAGTGAGTTCCAGGACAGCCAAGGCCATTACACAATGAAACTCTCTCTTGAAAAACAAAACAGAACAAGCAAACACAAAGGTTTAGGCTCGTGGGGTCCAGCACATTGGCCACACTGAGAGCTGCTCCTGAGAGGGCTTCTGCCCAGAGCTGTGCCTGCCTGAATTCTCGAAGGTGCTTGCAACCAGAGGTTACCTGACAGTGCTCCGTTCACGGAGTTTCTGGGCTTGGCTGTCCCTGGAGGCTATCATGGCTGGGGGTGTGAACACCGAGACCGAAGTAAAGGGAATCCTTACCTTGAGTTTGGGGGAGTGAGGTGGGCCAACCCCAAAATGGCCTCCATGCCTCTTCTCTGGCTCTGGTTCCCGAAGCATCAGAGGAGACAGGCCTCGAGCATGACCAGAGCCCTTGGCAAAAGGGACATAGTGCTGGAGGCGTCGGCGACTAGGGTCCTGGGGAAAGAGAAGACAGGGCAAGTTCTGGGAGTGCCAGAACTACTAGAGAGGTCGAAGGGGCCGAGCTTGGCTCTGGACATCATCCCTCACTCCTGCAAGCTGGGCTGGCTCGCTTCTCTCATCAAACCAGTTTGGTGTGAGTTGTCGCTGCCTTGAGTCACAGTGGCTGCTGCCAGGGAGGGCAAGTTCAGCTGGGCAGGGGCATGCCTGCCTGCTTCCTCAGGGAACCCGGAGGTAGAAGCTGAGGCCTCTTGCAGAGCAGCGGCACAGGCACACACATGCCCGGGCTCTGCAGCTTCAGCCCACCCAGCGGCACACATACCCTCTGTGCCAAGGGCTCACAGGAGCGGTGAGCCGTACATGCTCTGTTCTGAGTTCACTCCTTTGTGGACAGCTAGCCTCCCTCACACGTGGGAATGAGAGCTCACAAAGGTGCAGCCTCCTCCCTCGGGGCTGCAGCTAGTGTCCTATGCCACCGGGAGTTGCTGTCCTTCTGTGTTAGAGGTTGGATGAAGCCTTAGCCACAAGTCTCCTCCCAAGGCAGGCCTGGTCACATTCCTTGTCTGCCTTGGCCTGAATTACCCCACATACTTCCTAGTGTCCCTTTCTGCCCTCTGCCTGGGGTAGTTTCCATCTCCAGCAGGGGTGGAATCCTTCAGGGAGGCAGGGAATGCCCCCAGCCAGAAGTGGACCTGCTCTTAAGGAAGCTCCGAGGGCAGAAACAGCCTCGGCCCTGGCTTCCACACCCCTTTCCTCTACTAGGCTTGGAAGTGGGCCAGGCAGATGGAGCCGGGGGCGGGACCAAGACAATTCCCTCCACGCCCTCCTCCTCTGTGAGAACGGGGGCGCCCTGAACCTTGGCTCTTCTTCAGTCCTGACTCAGGAAGCTTTTGACTCCTCCCAACTCATCACAAGCAGAGACTGAGAGATGTCTTTCCCACTGCACCGCACCGCACTGCGTAACTCAGAAATGCCTTCCAACCCCTTCTCTGTGGGTGTGGCTCCACTCTGTTCCCTGACCCTGCCACTCCGTTGTCTGGGGCTGGGTGTGAAGTCCTGGGATCCCCGCCCAGGCTCGGTCCTCCTCTCCCAGCAACCCCGGAAAGCAGAGGAGGTTAAGGGACAAGAATAGAGCAGCCTGTGAAACTTTAAGGGGACAGACTTCAAAGCTTTGGTGTCCTCCCTCATGCCCCACCCAGGTCACCTTCCGGGCACGGGCGGACTCACCAATACAGGGCCTCCTCTGGGATAGATATTCCCAGCAGTGCTCTGGGCAGAAGTCGAACGACGGCCCCCATAAGTCTCGATTCGGGAAGCAACCAGGCCTTGGAGGGGGCCCTCATTTTGAGGATCAAAGGCTTGCATTGTGTCTATCCTGGGTCACCCCCAGAGGGTCATAATGCCAGTGTCCAGGAGAAAGGGGGTTCCCTTTTCTGCAAGACAGAAAGCCCAAGCTGGATTAGTGAGGAATGTCTCCACAGGTCAGAGCACAAGGAAAGACAAGGGGTCAGAGTGGGGAAGAAGAGGGCCGGCTGGTGATCACTTAGGGGGAGGTGGGGAGTGCGTTATCTATAAATTGGTGGGGGGAGGGCAGGTCCAGGTGCATGCTGGGTAGGAACATCTGCCTTACGTTTAGGAAACATTCCCACTTTGGCCTCAAAGGATGTTGTAGTCTCAAGAGCAGCTGGGAGCAAGGGTCACATAAAATCTCTAGCACTCTAAATAGCCCCGGGTAGAAGGCGTCCTCTTGTACCTAGAGATACAGTCTGCCTTCCTGTGCTGCCTTTGACAATACCGCAGGAACTCCGTGGACGGGGGAGGTGAGGCTAAGGACAGCCAGGTGGGTCTGCCATGTTGGAACAGACTATGGGCTCAGAATGGTTTTTATTTTCTTTCCTGGTTTGAGACAGGAGGGTCTTATAAAGTTGGCCTGGAACACACAGTGTAACTCAGGCTAGGCTGCCTTTCAACTCTGGATTCCCCTGCCTCAGCTTCTAGAGTGCTGTGATCACAGACATATTTCATCATGCTTGACAACTTTTACATTTTTTTTTAAATAGTAAAAAAAAGTAAAAAGAAGAATGTTTGGGGGAAAGAGAACAATACACACAGCTCTCATTCCGTGAGTTACAGCTAGTTTAACCACAGTACAGCCGGCCACCTTTACTGGATGGCTTGCTGTCCATGGCTACTTTTCTGTTAGTTGCAACTGAGACCCATCTGAGGTCAGAGAATCTACAATACGTTTTCCCTGTCCCTTTACTGAAAAGTCTGCACACTCCTTACCTGGCCCCCCGCGGCCACGCAGGAGCTGGAGAAGTTGGGAGAGCTGTCCGTCAGGATCGCGAGCCTAGCAGAAGCAGCGCTCCGGTCTCGCACTAACTTCAGCCTTTTCCAGCCTCTGAGGACACCACCATGGAGCTGGAAGTCAGATGCAGGACTCCACCTCTCCTTCCTAAACCTGGATGGAAGACCCATCCCTTCCAGTAGGCAGGGCCTGGAGGGAAGAGGCCCTTAATGGGAGTTGGGCTCAAGAACACTATACAGGGACAGGTTTCCCACCAAGTGTGCCTTTGGCTCCTCTCTCCCCCAAGTTTCTCCGACTTAGGCAAAGAGGAGGTTGCTCATTCTGTCTCCCGGCCCCGGCCAACAGTTCTGTCCCTGAGGTCAACCCCCCACCCCTCCACTCCTTTAATATCCCTCCCCATCCTTTCTCAGCCCCAGCTTTTCTCCCTCCCTCTTTCCCTGCCTCCTCCCCTCCTCCTTCTTAAGCCCTGCGACCCTATCCCAAGTTCCCGGTTCCCTGCCCGCCGGGCACCCGCCCTCCCAGCGCTCACCTGTGCACGCAGGTGTCCCGACTTCCGTTGTCCTCGATGCCTGCTGGGGCCGGGGGGACTCGGGGTCGTTGTCAGCCTCTTCGGCGATGGCAGCCCCTCTATCCCAGCCTGGGACTGGGACTGGGCGGCCCGCGGGACCGGGCTGCACGGGGCCGGGAGGAGAGGCGAAGGTGGAGGCAGAGGGGCGGGACACGGGCTGGCACCTCCCCCTCCCTGCGGCCCGTGCTGCGCCGCGGTCGTGGTCACCTAGGCGGGGAGGGCAGGGAGCCGGACTCCCGGACACAGCCATCAACCACCCGCGGGCCAGGAGCTCTCACTTCGTGGTGTGCGCCCTCTCCTTTTCTTTCGCCCCCGAACTAGCCAGCCATCCGCCACCTGGTCGGGGCTTGGGGTTGGAACCTGTTCCACCCGCGGGCCACCAGCGCGTCCTCCCTTCCCGGCCAGACCCCTGCCAGGCGCCAGGGTAATGAGGGGTAAATGAGAGGTTGGGTGCCGCTAGGCGGAGATGGTGAGGGTAATGACCAAGTGACTTGTGGCGGGTACCCCTCCCTTTGCACTCCCGTCCCTCTTGTCTGTCCTAGACCGTTAACCGGAGAGGAGAGCCAGCCTGGAATCAGGAAGGGCCTGGGGATCCTCAGCACCGTCGCTGTCCTCTGGTCATGAAGTCCAAAGTGTAGCCCTTATCTCCAATGGTCCTGCCGGCCTGCCCTGGCAACGGGTGTAAGGTTCTGTGGACTTTGCTTTTGATTCAGGGAGGGGTCAGGGGCCAGGCTGAGCCCAGACCCAACACTGCTCTCATTACCTAAGCCTGGAGGGAAGGGGAATACCAGGTGGGGGCCTCCTCCTGCCGCACTGCTTGTGGGCCGGTGTGACCTTCCAAAGGGCTACACAGACCGAACAGTCTCTCGAAAGTGGTCCTGCACTGGCTGGGCCAACATGAAAGGCTTTTTCACATTCCCAAGTCATGCCACCCAGTCTGAGGGAAGTACTGGGTATTTGAAATAAGAGGTATCCCGTGGCTCTGTCGGGGGCAAGGGCAGGTCTGAGGCCCACTTTGACATCTTCCTTCTGTCAATCGACTGGACTGGGTCTGACACAACCTCTTACCATGCAAAGTATCCTGAAGTCCATGGAACCCTTTCAGAAGTCATCTCCGAGTTCAGAGCAAAAAGCACTCGCTCTAATTCTCACTGGCTCCCATGGCTCCTCTCGGTCTGGAGGGGCATCTTTACCATTGGTTGTTTGAATCTGTGATCCTGTTCTCAGCCACAGATTTGCCCTCCAGTGTCCTTTTTCAGATTATGATGTGAGGTCTCAGTGTTACAGATTTGCCCTCTGGACCAATGGTTGCCTCCATCCTGCCTCCTGCCACCCAGCTGAACTAAAGGGTCAGCGGTGTGCGTTGGGGGCAAGGGGTTGGGTGAGAATGTGTTCGTCTAGTGTTCGTCTGTTCCTAGCATTCACACTGTGTGTTTTTTGGGGGGGGCAGGAAGAAGAGGAGGGGGAACAGGAAGACATATCCAGGCCTGACAAGAGTACTCATGAGGGAGGGAGAGAGTTAATGAACCAGTTGGTGATGATTACCGGCCATATTAAATGACACCCCAGAGACGGTGGATGCTGAGGACTCTCAGCTTCGTCTCCCACTGTTTCCCAGACGGAGACGGGAGGAGGAGGATAGGGACATCGGAATCTAGAAGGTACCAGAGAGTCCTGGGCTTGCATCTCCCTGGGGTGAGCTGGTGGTTCCTCCCACAGATCCAGGGAGAGTTAACTCTTTCTCATCCCTCAAGGCTGAGGTCCCACCTCCACCTACCAGCGCCTCAGGGCCTGTATCTAACCTCCCTGGGAGGAGAGGTTCCCAGACACAGCTAAAGACAGAGGTGTGGCCGGCCCAGGTGTGTGGGCAGGTGGACTCTCTGGCTCTCTTGTTCCATTCCTTCTATTCCGGCTCCGTTTGGCTGTTCTTTCTACAATTGCCCCCTTTAACAAGCTCTTCTGTGCTGCGAGAATAGACTCTGGAGGCAGGCTGAGAAGGGAACACAACCTGAGAACTGAAGACTGGGATGCCAGAGGCTGGTCTCTCCCGGGGAGGGGTCACAACTGAAGACCGGGCCTCTAGTGGGAGGGGTTGGGGGCCACTGGTCTGAACAGAGGGGAACTCTTGAATTCTTTTCCCTTTCAGCTTCCTTAGAAGTCCCTGGTACCATAGCATGAATCACGTTCCTTTACCATGCCTCATTTTCTCCTCTGGGCCAGATGCTCTTCATCAGGCCCCCAGCTTGATCCCACAGCTGATGAGGTGTCCTTCTGGGATCCAAGCTTGGAGAACTGAATGGATCCTTCCTAAGGGTAACTTTTGGGCCTGGTGGTGGGTCTTGTGGGGGTTGGCATAAAGACTCAAGAGGCAGGAAGGCCGGGAAGATGAGCTTGAGTCCTACCCAGTCCACACCTCTAGGGAGAGGCAGGCCATCTGAGTTAATGATGTGCTAGAAGTTACTAGCAACAGGAGGCAGTCAATGGGAGCTTATGTCTTCTCTGAAGAGTAGGGGACAGACTGGGGACTTGAGTAGGTGGTGGCAGATCATGGAAGACAACGCATACGATGTGGCCAGGCCACTGTGTCCAGCTGCTGCTGCCTCATATCAGCATTGGGGCCTCCTGATCACGGGGGCAAGCTGTAATGAAGCTAGAGATAAATGAGAGAATGCCAGACTCAAGGGCAGACGGATAGGCAGCTAGAACATTGATAAAGGAAGACATAGAAGTCATGAGCCAGGAACTATGCACACACATTAGAGGGACCAGTTCCTACCCAGGGGAGACAAGGAAGGCTTCCTGGAGGAATTGATCTCTGTGATGACACCACAGTGCTGGGTACAAAGTGTGCTGCTGGTGTGGCCACAGGGAGACACTTCTGAAACCAAGAATGAACAAAGGCCCAGTGGTGCAGAAGGGCATGCTTAGAAAGCAGCCTGGAGCGGAGTGTGGTGGAGCACACTTGTCCCAGCTTCCTAGGAGGCTGAAGCGGGAGCACTGTGTGAGCCCAAGCATTCACAGGCAGCTTGTGCAGCACAGTGAGACCCTGTCACAAAAACAAGCAAACAGGGTTAATGAGATGGCTTGGGGAACAACGGTGGTTGTTGACAAGTCTTACGGCCTGAGTTTGATCCCCAGGACCCACTTAATGGAAGGAAAGACTCCGACACACATAAATGTAAAAAAGAAAAGAAAAAAGGGCCAGCTGGTATTGGTGCACACCTTTAATCCCAGTACTTGGGAGGCAGAGGCAGGTGGATCTCAGTGAGTTCAAGGCCAGCCTGGCCTACAGAGAGAGTTCCAGGACAGCCAAGGTTATAAAGAGAAACCCTGTCTCTAAAAACAAAACAAAACAAAAACAGAAAGAAGAAAGGAAATAAGCCAACAGGGCCAGGGGTGTGGCTCGGTTGGTAGAATGCTTGCCTGGCATGCGCGAGGCTCTGCGTTTGATCCCTGGCACCAGTACAAGCTGGGCATGGCGGCATATGC